CCCTGTCCATCACCAGCTCCCGGAGCTTGCTCAAACTCATGTCCATCCAGTCGGTGATGCCATCCAACCATCTCATCCTCTGTTGTCCTCTTCTCCTCCTGCTTTCAATCTTGCCCAGCATCAGGGTCTTTCCTAATGAGTCAGTTCGTCACATTAGGTGGCCAAAGTATTGGGAGTTTCAGCTTCAGCATCAGTCCTGCCAGTGAATATTCAGGACTGATTTCCTTTAGGACTGACTGGTTTGATCTTCTTGCAGTCCAAGGGGCTTTCAAGAGTCTTCTCCAATACCACAGTTCAAAAGGAACAATTCTTCAATGCTCAGCTTTCTTTATAGTCCAACTCTCACATCCATAATGACTATTGGAAACCATAGCTTTGACCAGACGGACCTGTGTCGACAAAGTAATGTCTCTGCTTTTTAATATGCTGTCTAGATTGGTCATAGCTTTTCTTCCAAGGAGCAAGCATCTTTTGATTTCATGGCTGCAGTCACCATCTGCAGTGATTTTGGAGCCCCCAAAATAAAGTCTGTCACTGTTTCCACTGTTTTCCCATCTGTTTGCCATGAAGTGATGGGACCAGATGCCATGATCTTTGTGTTTTGAATGTTGAGTTTTAAACCAGTTCTTTTTCGCTCTCCTCCTTCACTTTCATCAAGAGGCTCTTCAGCTCTTCTTCGCTCTCCGCCATAAGGGTGGTGTCATCTGTCTATCTGAGGTTATTGATATTTTTCCCTGTGGCCACAGCTGAGTTTTCCATATTTGCTTGCATAATGAGTGCAGCACTTTAGCAGCATCATCTTTTAGGATTTGAAATAGCTCAGCTGGAATTTAGGATTTGAAATAGCTCAGCTGGAACACCTCCACTAGCTTTGTTTGTTGTGATGCTTCCTAAGGCCCACTTGACTTCACACTCCAAGATGTCTGGCTCTAGGTGACTGAGCACACCACCGAGGTTATCTGGGTCACTGAGATCTTTTATGCATAGTTCTTCTGTGTATTTTTGCCACCTCTTCTTAATATCTTCTGCTTCCGTTAGGTCCATATCATTTCTGTCCTTTATTGATATGAAATTACTTTTTTTAAGTAACTTCATCTACTTTTCTTTTAGGAAGAAAAAAAAAACCAGTGGTGGTTTTATTTTGAAACTTTTAAAACTTATTTGCAAATAAAGTTTTTGTTTTACCAGTTAGTTTGCAGAAGTAGAGACTGTGTCATTGTTAAGGTCACAGAGGAGGAAGCCAACCAATGGAAATCTCACTAAACTATTAGTCAGTGTTTCATATTTTCCTTGTCATCAGCTGTCCTTCCCTACTCTGTCACTTTAAGAAGTCTATGGGAAGTTGTAGGATTAGGTCTCAATAACTATGGAGGCTAGAAGCTTTGTGTGAAGCACCGCGGCTGCCTCTGTTTGAAGGCAGCCCAGTTATTTATTTGCTCTGTGACCTTGCGCAGATTATATTCTCTGGGCTAATTTCCCCATAGGGATAATAAGAGTACTTATCTCAAGGGGGTTTTGTGAAAAATTACAAAGAGGTTATAAACAATGCCTGGCATAGAGTAAGTAGTCAATAAATAATGATAATAGCAATAATGATTGATAATACTTTATGCCAGACACTGTTGTTATAACAGGGGCTTCTCAGGTGGCAGGAGTGGTAAATTACCTGTCTGCCAATGCAGGAGACAGAAGACACATGGGTTTGATCCCCGGGTTGGGAAGATCCCCTGGAGGAGGGCATGGCAACCCCACTCCAGTATTCTTGCCTGGAGAATCCCACGGACAGAGGAGTCTGGTGGGCTACAGTCCATGGGGTCGCAAAGAGTCTGGACATGAGTGAAGTGACTTAGCATGCAGCCACACATGTTATTAAGAACTCTCTATATTAAGTATTAGGTGTGATTAGTACTGTATAACTAATTCCTATTTCAGGATCAGAAGCTGACATGAGAGGTGGAAACAATTCATTCTCCTCAACCTTAGCTGCATACTTTCCAAGTAAAGTCACAGACTATTTCCCTGTTGGCAGGGAAAACCAGACATGGAAGGGTTTAGAAGGACAGACACAGTATCCTCTCCATTTAACAACAGGATCTAGGGCTTGTGCTAGGAACAGTTGGGCATTTTAAGCGGAAATGAGGAGTTGGCAGTTATTGCTGCTTGAGTGGCATTCATTTGAAGGAATCCTGAATCATGCTGAATCACAGCATCTGAGCTGGTCGTCTCTGAGGACACTTAATACTTTCTTTTGGCCCTTGCCATCCTGAAAGATCTTCAAGGGCACGGTCTGTCCTAACTCACCTGTGTGACCCCTGCAGAGCTGAGTACAGTACCTTGGGGAAGACTGGACGTGGGAGGGCAGGAGGGGATAAAGCCGATTTCAGGGGAGGGAAATACAGAAAACTCTTCAAATACAGATGGCAGTTTATCGTTTAAGTGGGGTAGCCTTTTCTTTCCTTTGTTTTCAAACATCACTAATGAACAGGTGTGCCCAGGGCCGTATCCGTGCAACAACAGTCACTTCATCCCAGACCTTCCCAGGGTCAGTCAGGATGACTTATGACCAGACTGGCTCCATTAAAAACAGTCACTGCAGAAAGCTGGATGCCAGGTAGGAAGGAGCCATTAGCTGCCCCCCCAGAGCCAAAGAGCAAAGGTCACACGATGTGTCCTCTACTTAAGTCTTCTAAAACGTGTACAAGAACGTTATGTTCAGTATCTTTATTTCACACCCACCTTTAAAAAAAATATTAGGGACATTCAGTCCTTGTGTCTGTAACGAATATTTTATGTAGCACTTTGGTTGGAATGGTAAACCAAAATCGAGTCAGAAAATACTAATTCCTAGTTCCTGTGACAATTTTAACTCATCTCCTGGTGTGGCGTGGAGGCACCCAGGCTGGACTTCCTACAAAGCCTCCTGCGTCACACTGACTCACTGTTAGGCCTTAGGAAATCACTAGGTAAGTGTCTGTGGTTACCACACTACAACTTACCTCAAGATATTATAAAGAGTAATCAATTAGGGAGGGGAAATCTATGAAGCTGTGCAAGCTTCTTGGTAATAAAACTCTGTAAGCACAAAGTACCATTGCATTATGGGTAACTCAGTGCAGAAAGTGCTAGACAGTTCAATCGTTATTGGAAATTGGACATTTTCACAGCGAATTTTAAAACATTAAAAAAATAAAATAAAATATTTTAACTTTAAATTGTCTTAACACAAGTTAAAGTCATGGGTCCTTAAAACAGTCCATCCACTCCAATGATTGCTCCCAGGTCTGCTGAGTGCTTTGCAACGATTGATCTGAACCAGGTTTAACCCTCCCAACACCTGAAGCTCTTAACCACGCTGCACTACCTCCTCACCACGTGCTTTAAGAAGCCATACAGCCTGGTACTAGGATTCAATGGGGCGCAACTGGGGGCAAATGAATATAGCTCAAGCCTACAGTCACCTGCGGATGGAACTAACTATCGTTGCCAACAAGGACTGGTCACCCCAGTTTTAACATCTGAAGAGACACAAGCGCTCACTTTCCCAGAGTGAGATAGTCATTAACAGAATGGAAAGTACACTCCCGGGCTGTGACGGCCAAGCCGGGCCGCAGGCAGACCTCCAGACCACACGGAGTTTACTGTGAGACTGTGGTCATTTTAGGGCCTTTTTGGGCTTCAAGAGACTGGGAATTCTTCCATTTTTCTCCTCATGTTTTTAATGAAAGCCTTTCCAAAATGAGACACCAAGGTCTGTAACTGCTTAGTTTACATGGAACAGTTTAACTTGATGTCACTGTGACAGCGTGTCTACGCTACATTCACAGTGTCTCTTGGAGAAAACCTGAAGGCCCGCAGGGACGGTGACACCCCGGTCCCGGTGGCCCTCGGGCCGCAAGGGCCGTCACGTGCTACCCGGGTGACAAGGAGTGTTAGGGCAGCGGTGCCTCCCCCGCGCCCGCTCCCCGGGGCGGGACGTTTATCCGGGAGGCGCTGTGAGGCGGGACCGGCAGCCCGGATCCCCGCAGCCGAGAGGCCGCAAAAGCGGGGCCCGGCTCCGGCGGCGCTGAGCCCGCCCCCGGGAGGAAACCTCCGGGCCCCACGAGCACAGAAAGCCACTCCCGGCGCCCCTGGCTGCCGCCGCCACCGCCGCCAGGAGGGTCGTCGAGCCGGAACTCTGACTGCCCCCGCAGGGACTGCCCGGCCTCGAGGCGGGAAGGCCGCGCGCAAGGCTCGGCGGGAAGGGCCGCGCGCGCCGGGGGAGAGCCCCGCCCCCAGCGCCGCGTCGGCGCGGCGGCCCGCCTCGCGGGCGGCCCTGATTGGATGGCTGAGCGTCGCACGCTGATTGGCCGCGTGGGCGAGGCGGCGGCGAGCCGTGCGCAGCGGCGTGTGCGGGGCCGTGTGCAGACCCGCGTGTGGCGCAGGCAGGGACCCTGAAAATAAACAGCCGCGGCTTCGCGAGCCGTCCTCCCGGTCTGCGCCTGAGTCTCGGCCGCTGCGGGCCCCTGCGACGCGGAAGGTGAGGCCGCGAGCGGGACGGGGACCGCGGCGCGGGGGGGCCGCGGGCGGAGGGCCGGGCCCGGGCGGCGGCGATGGCGGCCGAGCTCCGGCCTGCTCCGCTGCTGCGTCAGGCGGGAAGCAGGCCGCCGCAGCCCGGGCCCGGCCTGTGCCCTACGGCCGGCTGCCCCCGCGCTCTGCCCGCCGCCCGGGACGCGGGGCCGCCTCTCTGGGGCCTCCGGGACCCGGCCGCGCCCGGGCCGCAGCCCCGCGGCGTAGAAGGCCGCGCGTCCTTGGGACCGAGGCAGGGGTTCGGGCCGCGGGGAGGGGGTGACTTGGCGGGAAGGTGCGGGGAGGGGGCCTTGTGGGGAGGGCGCGGGGCGGCGGGGGGCCGGGGCTGGGCCTGGCGGGCCACGTGCCAAAGGGCTCTTCGGGCCCAGGAGGGGCCTCGGAGAAGCTGTCCGCTCAGGGCGGGGGATACCCCGCCGGAAGGCCCGTACGGCTTCGGGTCTCGCGCTCGGTGCTCCACGGCAGCTTCAGGATTCTTGGATTTTTGTCGTCATGGACGTGCTAAGTTACTGGTCTTACGTTGCACTTCGGGGAAGGGCAGATAAGGCTCGTTTTCCTTGAATCAACACTGCTTTAAATTCGAGAGGCCTCTGGAAAAAACCCCATTATCGGCAGAAAACATGAATCGGCCAAACTTCCAAAATCATGGCAGCAGCAGTAACCTTTGCATCATCTCCGGGGTAGATGAAGCGAATGCAGTTTAAAAACGAGGCGAGAAGATGAGTTAACCAAACTCCGTTTGGTTTTTCCAGACGTGAAAACCTATTTTAGTAACGGCATGATGGCCAACGTTTGGGTTCGGCTGTGGATTTTCTTATGGATAAGGCTCGTGCTTGTTGCCACATGTTAACCACATGGCCTCAGCCACAGGACACTTCCTAAGGAAGTGACTGCATCTGGTCCTGGGGGTCCTAGGAAAAGAAAACATTACTTGGTTTTCATCTGTGACTTCAGATAGTATGTTTCAGGCATTGTTCAGAAGGATCCACGAAAAGGATAAGGTAAATAAGCCAAGAGTCTGGATTAGCTTGCCTCTTTTTCTTTCCCCTTCTTTTTTCTTTTCAGGAGTATTGATTTTCGTCCCTATCTTGTACCCCCAGGAGACAAGTTTTTAAGAAAAGGTTTTTTTCCCCGTTGTTTGACTCACTTTTGGAGAGAAACATAACTAGTTAATTTCTGCCTCAGTTAGTTAACCTTAATTTAAATTAGCAACTTTTTATTCTTCTGCTCAACCCCTGTTAGTTGATGTAAAGTTTTGAGGGTCTTAAAGAGATGAATTAAGAGGTTGTTCCTACCTCTAAGACTTTTTCCCTCTCTGCAAAGCAATTACTTTCAAATACTTACTAAAAATTACTGTGGTCATGGCTTAATCAAACACCTACGAAATGCCACGTTCATAGATTGATGCTGTTGTAGTTTGTTGAACCTGATTCTTGTTTAGGAGGAGCTCTTTGTACTGGAATGTAAAAGGGATAATTTATTATATTCCCAAGGGCTGAATAAAGAGCTTAAAGTTTTTTCCAAGTTGTAACTCTTAGCAACAATTAAAAAAAAAAAGGGTATATATTTATGTAGTTATCTAATATGTCACACAGAACTTGGATAAGTTTTTCTTAGCAACCAAAGGTCCACAGTCCTTTTCCTCTTGACAACAAACTAGGTATTTTAAATGTGCAGTTTAAGGGACATTTATTACACTTATATTTGAACATCTGTAACAGGCAGAATATCTTTTTTAAGGTACTATAAATGAGGATTCTTTTTGAAATCTTAAAGTATATGGCATCTACGTGGAAAGCTTAAAGACAAGAGAACCAGTTTTAACTACTTGAGGTGATTGGTCTCTTGTCTAAATGCTTGACCATGAGAGAGATTCTGCTTCCCTTCTCCTGTGCCTGCAGGAATGAGAGTTTCTTTTTTAAAAAGTTGTTGGCTGCTTTCCGTTTCTAGCCTTCTGACAGTAAGTGGAGAGCGAAAGGCTGGGGCCAAGGCCTCCTGGCCTGCTCTGTGGAGGGCACCCTTTCTGTTCTGGCAGTGTCAGATGCTCCTGCAGTCAAGGCATGCTCTTGAGAGATTCCAGGAAAGTGTGCACCATTTCCATGTTAAAAAAGACGCTGGTCTAATTAGTAAAGATTGTAGCCACCAGCATTCACTTTGTGAGTGGGTGGGCTCTGTTAAAGGGGACTGAAAATGCAGTATGGTGTTCACTTGGAGTGGCTTGTTAATTACAGATGAGGGTGTTAAGTGGAGAGGTCAGGTTGCTAGTCTTTGCCACTCCTAAATTCTGCCTTGAGGAAGGTTAAAATCTAAGATGACTTTAAATTCTTTCATGGGTGTGGGTTTTTTAAAAAAAAAACCCACAGTATCACTTCTGTTCTTTTATTTTGACTTATCTAATTTGGTATACTTTTCTGATAGCATTTTCATGAACTTTATCACTTAACCCTAACAAAAACCTCTGCAGAGGACTTGGAGCGCACTGTTGAAATCCTGACTCGAACTTTCTAGTTGTGTGGCTTTGGGTGAGTTACTTGTTCTCAGATCCTCAGTTTCCTTATCAGTGAAATGGGAACAAGGTTACGGAACTTGGACAGTTGCAGGGATTGTAGATAATATGTATGTTAACCCTTGACTCATAGTAGATATTTAGCTACTAATTAAAGCCTTTCCAGATATACAGAAATGGATGTAAGTAACAAGACCACACAGTAAATGCAGGGTAAGAAGCCGGAACTGCTCCTAGCGTTGTGCTCTGTTCTTCATTCCTCTGAGCGGAATGCCGGTAGCACACACTATCGCTTCCTTTATTTTGTTTATGTTTACTTCAGACTGAAGTGTTTCGCTCCCCCGTTGGTACTGTGAACTGACTCACCTAGTAGAGGGTGAGTGCGTTGGGCGGGCAGAGGCCCCTCTGGGCCTGGGGACGCGCGTGGCGCGCAGTCTCCGCGTGCTCCTCAGCCACTGGCGCCCGTTCTCGCCTCCCCCTTGGCTGCTGCTTATTTTAGATGTGTTTATAGACTCTCACTGGCTCGAACCCATTGTCGGCGTTGACCAGGTACTGTTAAGGTTTAATCAAAGCAGTTTACTGGCTTGGTTGTCAGTATCAAAAATGCAGTAGATTCACTTCAGTGAAGACAAATTTGTGTGACAGTGTTTTGTTACTAGTTCCAGCAGTTAAGCCTCACAGCCTGGATGAGTGCAGAACCGGAATAGTTGGACCTCCCAGTTAAGCTCACGGGGCCGCTGACAGTAGCCCTTCTCAGGTCGCATCTTGACGGCACCAGGCGTGCCCTGGGCCCTGCCACATCTTAAGTGTGACTTATGTCATAAAAATTGAGTTCACTGTGGTCGAAGGGAAACATACTGCTTCCTGGGGTTGGAAATGTGAGCTCATTTGGAGTCGACCCTTTTGCTTCTCAAGGAGGAGACGTTCTAGACTGGGAAACTGGAGTGTGAGCGGAGTTAGGCCCACTCGAAGCCTGCTGTGTAGATTGGCTGTGTCGCAAGGCTTGTGGGCTAAATCCCCGACCAGAGAAAGAACCGGGGCCCTGGCAGTGAAGGCCCGGAGTCCTGACCCGCAGGCTGCCAGGGAACTCCTCAGAGTGAGTTGTGCCTGTCTGCACTCTAACCTCAGCAGGGAGGAGTGGAAAGGAAAGCGGAACTGGGAGCAGTAGACAGGAATACTTGAAAGTTTAATTGAGCGTGTGTTAAGCACAAGGTACCTGGTAACAGTTATGGTTACAGATCAGACAGGAGATGTGTCAGGTGTCCTGAGGTAACACAGCAAGCAGTTAAGTGGTTAACCGTGTGGTCCCCAAATCTTTTCACATTGTGAGAATACATGGGTGTAGATCGCAGTAGCGAGAAGAAAAATATGCTCTTACTGCCAAGTGACAGTGAGAAGACAGTATTTGCTTTTTAAATGAGTATATACATGTTTTGCAGCATTCCATAAAAGATTTCTGGGGTCTCGTTGAATTCTTGGAGTAATAAGAGTCTGGGTGGCAAGCAGAGGTCCTGGCTTGGCTACTGACTTGAGTGACCTGGGGTGAAAATTTCTCAGTTACATGTGGGAGTTGTAATAGACAATCTGAAATGCATACTGAATCTAGACTGTAGTCAGTCCTTAATGAGGCTGTAAAATTCGTTGTTACTGTTTGTTTTTTGGCCGCACTGCGTTGCTTGTGAGATCTTCGTCCCTTGACCAGGGATTGAACCTGGGCCCTGGCAGTGAACGTGCTGAGTCCTAGCTGCTGGACCGTCAGGGAACTTCCAGCATCATTCTTTTAAATGAATGTGCAGCAACTCATCTCATAGCAGAAATTTAGCTGTTTTTTTTTTTTTTTTTTATTGTCAGTACTTACTGGATTGGGTTGGGTCTGTACAAGAAACACAAGTTTATTTCATTCAGCAAATGACTATTGGTCCCCCCCCCCCAAAAAAAAAAAAAAACCTCAGCAGTTAAAATCCTGAGTTCTATAACTGCTCCTAAAAGGGTGATTGTATGGGGTATTATTCAAAGGTAAATCACTTGGTCTGTACCCTCAAGGAGTATGATAGAAAGCAAAATGGTAGAGCAGGCAAAGTGCCCCGAGTCTTAGTAGGAAGAAGGAGAGTTCCAGGCTGGTGATGTGGTCAGGTTCTTTTACAGAGCTGGCGTTTATCCGAGTTGGCCCTTGAAGGTTGGAAAACGGCGCGACAGGTGCGCGAGGCGGAGGCAGGCAGTGCAGCAGGACGCCCGGCCAGAAGCGGGGATCACGGAGCCGCAGTTCACTAGGCCCCGGCTGCCCTCGCTGCCTCTAGTTCTCCTAAGGAGCGGCGGGGGACTCTCTGAAGACCTTGTGACTCACTGTGTTCACCTGTGAGATGAGTGCTAGGATAGCCACCTGTCTCCTAGGATGGGCAGCCTGCCTTTAAAACAGCAGGAAGCTGTTGGAATCATGTTAATGACCTAACAGCACTCTCAGTAAAAATGTAGAACAGCTCACGGAGATTGGCTTGGCCAGAGAGAAAGAAACAGTTCATGAAAAATCCACACATGGGGTAATCACTTTTTAGGAAGCTAAATTTTTTTAAACTATTTTTTGTAGGCTGAAAGTAAACCTAAAGGTTTCACTGTTAACTTTCTTCCACTGATAAACATCTGATGATCCATTATAACGTATTTCCCTTGTACTTTACCATTATGAAGTAATCAAGAGGTCTTTTTAAAGCAGCGGCATAAAAGTGAGATTGCCCAGAACTATCATGTACTTTAGCTTTGAAAATGCATGTTGAATGTCGGGTTGTCATTTTTCTAGAAGATAAATATCTCATTGAAATAAAATATTATAAAATGCTTAGAGCCTGTCAAATTGCCTGGATTGCCTTGTGAAAGGAAGGAACTCCTTGGGACCAAGAGTTAAAGTGCTCAAATTTGCATGCGTGCTCAGTAGTGTCTGACTTTTTGAGCCTGTGGACAGTAGCCCACCAGGCTCCTCTGTCCCTGGGACTTTGAGGCAAGAGTGCTAGAGTGGGTTGCTATTTCCTACACCAGGGCATCTTCCCAACCCAGGGAGTGAACCCGTGTCTCTTGCGTCTCCTGCACTGGCAGGCAGCTGTTTTTTTACCATTGGGCCACCTGGGTACACCGTCTGTGCTCAGATTGGTCCTCAGTAAACCAGAGGAGACACAGAGTTGAAGCGGGATGGAGGGGAGGATGAAGTGCCATAAGCTGCGTTTTCCTGTGATGGTTTTATGTGCTGTTCACTTTTTAATCTCGAGTCTTTTCTCTGGAAACCAGCCTTCCACTTGACTTAAAATGCCAGCACATGTAATTTTGCCAAATGCCTTTTAACTCTTCACAGTCTGGTTTCTTCTGACTGGAAATGTGCACGGTGACGCCGTGGAGTATGAGTGCCCTGTTAGGTGCGCTGTCCTCCCCACTGTTGGTGATCAGTGTACAGGGCGAGCGTGTGAGTTGGTAGAAAGTGTCCTCGGAAGATTTATCCCGGCTCTGATTTCAGACGCATGGGACAACTATGAGTTCTTTCGGATATTTGACAGCGGAAACTTTTGAAACTAAACTTTAGCATAATTTTAGTCACTAGGTTTTGCTCCATCAAGTTTAAAAACTTTGTGCACCATTCTTTGACACTTACAGCTTAAGGACAAAACATGTTTAGATACAGGGAAGTGTGGAAATGTAAAGGTAACATTTTTATTAGCTAGTTTTTTAAAGGCCAGTTTAATGGGAGTTTGTCCTGCAACATTCCATTCTGTTCTATTCCATTCTTTTCTAGGAATAGCCCCTACTTATTTTTAGATTGTTATGTAATAAGTATAAAATGCATTTGCTTTAGTGGAGTTTCGCTTTTATTTTGAAACAATACCCAATAAAGCAGTCTAGTGTGGAATTCCAAGTAACTTTCTTTTAGATGTAAAATTACAGAAGAAAATTTGGAAGCAGGAGAATAGAAGAGGGGAAATGGCCCCAGTGCTACCGGTTCTGTCCTTCGGAGTTTCTCTGTCGTTTTCCTACTGTTTTTAACAGACCGCACCTCTCGAGTCAGGATCTGCTGCCCCTGGTGTAGCGCGTGTGCTCCTGAGCGCTCAGGCGGCCGCAGGGCTGCAGCGTCCTCAGGTGCCCATCAGGTGCTCTGCTGCGGGGGGCGGGGGTGGGGGGTTCCCTCTGCTCTGTCCTTGCTACAGATCACGGGCTTCCGGGTGTATGTGACCTCCAGTTGCGCACAATCAGGTTTTATTTCTAATGATGGGTATTCATTTACACTAACCCTGTAAGTCCCGTTAGTAACTGGGTTAACACGTATGCGTAATCTTAACAATTATGCAAAGTGTTTTTGTTTCATTTTTTAATATATTTCATAATCATAATGCCTAAGTACATAGTCATCCGACTGTTTTTCTAAGCAATATATTGGTTGGCTTTTGTTCTCAAGAATAATTATCCAGAAATACTAAATAGGGAATAAAAGCTGTAAGTAGTGCTGAGTGGTTTCATGTTGTCGTTTTTTAATGTTTTGAAGATCTGACTGCAGCCATGAGCAGCAATGAGTGCTTCAAGTGTGGACGGTCTGGCCACTGGGCCCGGGAGTGCCCCGCTGGTGGGGGCCGCGGTCGTGGGATGAGAAGCCGTGGCAGAGGTGGTTTTACCTCGGATAGAGGTATTTTTGTCGAATAAAAAATTCTTAAGTACTTCAGTATTCATGAATATCAAGACTGGTCTAATTAGCCACGTATGTTTTGTTTCTGTTCAAAATAGGTTTCCAGTTTGTTTCCTCGTCTCTTCCAGACATCTGTTACCGCTGTGGCGAGTCTGGTCACCTTGCCAAGGACTGTGACCTTCAGGAGGATGGTAAGTGTTTAACCCTTCCTGTCCCGCCTTCCAGAGCCGGGCGAGGGGGGCGTGCTGGAGGCGGCACCCCGGGTGCGGCGCGGCGGCACCTGTGGGGTGTGACAGTCTGGCTCCGCCCTTTGCCTACTGCTGAAGCCTGCTATAACTGCGGCCGAGGCGGCCACATCGCCAAGGACTGCAAGGAGCCCAAGCGGGAGCGGGAGCAGTGCTGCTACAACTGCGGCAAGCCCGGCCACCTGGCCCGCGACTGCGACCACGCAGACGAGCAGAAGTGCTACTCCTGCGGCGAGTTCGGGCACATCCAGAAAGACTGCACCAAAGTGAAGTGCTACCGGTGAGCTGCCGGGCGCTGCGGGGGCCCGGGCTGGCCGTCGGGGGAGGGGCCCGGGGGGCTGCTGCAGGAGCCTGGGCTGGCCGTCAGGGGAGGGGCCCCGGTGGCTGCGGGAGCCTGGGCTGGCCGTCAGCGGAGGGGCCCGGGGGGCTGTTGCGGGAGCCTGGGCTGGCCGTCAGCGGAGGGGCCCGGGGGGCTGTTGCGGGAGCCTGGGCTGGCCGTCAGCAGAGGGGCCCGGGGGCTGCTGCGGCCCCAACGTGGCCCTGACCACACGAGGGGTTTGCGTGCATGAAAGAACGTTAGGGTGTAATAATTTGGCACCTTCAGAGACTTTATAGAAAATGACAAAGTGTATGTTTTGTGTGTCTAGTTCATACACAAATGTTTTGTCACGAAATTAGAAGTCTCTGCTTGTGAATGTAACATCATATATACATGTTAAAGCATAAAATTTCGTAAGTTTCGATATGTCCATGCTTGTGAGATCTTAGGGGTTCATTTGGCCAGTGCTTTGGTGGTGGTGATGGATGATCTCCTGTGGCACAGTCTCTTACTTTACGCTGTGGCCTGCTCAGTTGAGTGGCTTTGCTGTCAGGCTTGTACACTGCACTCATCATCGCCTTTTGTGTTGCAGTGACTAATCCTTCAGTACACTGACGTTTTCTGAGCGCCATTGTGAAAGCTGTTTGAATTTCCTCTCGTAGGTGTGGCGAGACCGGTCACGTAGCCATCAACTGCAGCAAGACGAGTGAAGTCAACTGTTACCGCTGTGGCGAGTCGGGGCACCTGGCACGGGAATGCACGATCGAGGCCACAGCTTAATTACTTTCCTTTGTCGCCCCTCCTTTTCTGATTGATGGTTGTATTATTTTCTCTGAATCCTCTTCACTGGCCAAAGGTTGGCAGATAGAGGCTACTCCCAGGCCAGTGAGCTTTACTTGCCGTGTAAAAGGAGGAAAGGGGTGGAAAAAAAAATCGACTTTCTGCATTTAACTACAAAAAAAAGTTTATGTTTAGTTTGGTAGAGGTGTTAATGTATAATGCTTTGTTAAAGAACCCCCTTTCCGCGCCACTGGTGAATAGGGATTGATGAATGGGAAGAGGTGGGTCAGACCAGGAAGCCCGTTCTGGGTTTCTCGAATATGTCCCATGTAGGAGGTGAAACCAATCCTGGAAGTGTCTGTGAGCTTCCATAAATAACTTTAATTTTAGCATAATGACTGCCTTGGATTGTCTGACCTCAGTAGCTATTAAATAACATCAAGTAACATCTGTATCAGGCCCTACATAGAACATACAGTTGAGTGGGAGTAAACAAAATAAAAAGACAAGCATGCGTGTTGATGGCTGTGCGAGAACACGGGATAAAAGCCTGAGCAGGAGCAGCCTCCCCACAGCGTTGACGCTGGGTAAACAGACGGTGATGGCAATGGTGTAGAACACACGTTTTCAAAGACTAAATCTAAAACCCAGAGTAAAACATCTATGCTCAGAGTTAGCATAATTTGGAGCTATTCAGGAATTGCAGAGAAATGCATTTTCACAGAAATCAAGATGTTATTTTTGTATACTATATCACTTAGACAACTGTGTTTCATTTGTTGTAATCAGTTTTTAAAAGTCAGATGGAAAAAGCAACTGAAGTCCTAGAAAATAGAAATGTAATTTTAAACTATCCAATAAAGCTGGAGGAGGAAGGGGAGTTTGACTAAAGTTCCTTTTGTTTGTTTCAACTTTTCATTAATGTATATAGTGCAAAATGCCATATTAAAAAGGGGAGTGGAGGACCGGAAGCTGACAGTTTGGAGTTTTCTTTTTGTACTAACCCAGTCTCGTCTTCAGTAAGGAAACATAGCTGTTAGAGGGAGCACAGGCTTCAGATGCTTTGTCAGCCCTGCAAGGATATGGATAGTTTAATTCTTCTCATCCATTATAATGATGGCCTTTAGTTCCACATTGATTCTGAACAGTTCTAACACCATGGATGGTTTTTGTTAAAGCTTTTTTTTTTAATGTGGACTCTCTTTAAAGTCTTCATTGAGTTTGTTACTGTATTGATGTTGTTTTATGATTTTTTGGCTGCAAGGCGTGTGGGATCTTGGCTCCTGGACTGGGGATGAACCTGTGCCCCTGCACTGGAAAGTGAAGGCTTACGCGCTGGACCACCAAGAAATCCCATTACACTTTTAGCATCAAATTTTCCTGGACTCCACGGGGATCTGAAATGTTGGATTCCTTGTGTTTTCTCTTAGGGTCTGATCTAGAGTTGACATGGACCTTAGAGTCATTTAATGAACTCACTTTATAGATGAGTTGCTGGAAGAATGTGCAGCTGCCTGGAACCTCAGGTGCCCTTCCTCTCCTACACCCTCTGAAGGGTCCTGTCGCACGCCCCATGAAGGTGGCTCCCTGCCCCTTCGCGCGGCACGCTGCGTGTAATCCGGTCAGCGTGTGATGGGGGGTCACTGGCGCTGCAGTCGCCAGAGCAGCGAGAGCCTGAGCTCCCAGCGCCAGTTCATTTCCTTGCTTGAGGCTTTGTTTTGCTTCTGTGGTTGAGTTGCTTGCATTGTTTCTTTTTGGCTGAGTGGCACCACATATGGGATCTTACTTCCCTGTGTCTCCTGTCTGGAAGCTTGGAGTCTTCATCCTGGGGCAGCCAGCAAAGTCCCTTTGATATTTTTATGAAGCAAGTGTTGTATCTCAGATGTTAAGCGTGTTAGAGATCATGATAATTTTAGTTTCTGGCACACCTATGAAACAGTGGTATTGCACTGCGTCAGTCTTACTGCTGATACAGAACTTGACCTCTTTTGCATTGAAATGACAGGCATTTCCCTTGAAAAGTCAGTAATCTATCCTTCATTCACCTGATGATTTTAGCATTTCCTGTTCTTTGTGCACAGTTGGGAGAAATGAAGACTGTCCTCCCTGGTTCAACAAAACCAAGTGGTACTAAGTGATACAGTGCCCTTCAGGGTTTTTTTTTTTTTTTTTTCCCTTCAGGGTTTTGAGGATTCTGGTAAATAATGAGTATCATCCACTAAGGAAGAGTTGATTTTTTTAGGTAGAAATAGATTTCTGTTGCAGTTGTAGGGAAAACAGTGCCTTGAAGGATTTTGTCTGGGATGCTGGTAGCTGTTGTGCTTGAGTTATTTTGACTATTTTATATGTTAAATTACTCATGGCACAGGCTGTCCTTGACTTACGGCAGTTCCACAGTCAGTAGGTGAGGCGCCTGACTTGTAGTGAGATACTGTTGTCTACTCAAGTGTCAGAGGCAGGTTCTTGAGAATTCGGGGCTGTCAGAGAAGACAGTAGCATATACTTGTACCATCTGTTCTCTGTTCCCTGTTTTGGGATCCGTTTCCCTTAATTACATACTAGTACTGGTTGTGACAGTCCTTGTTAACCTTAACTCATTTTTATTTAAAAAAAAATTTTTTTTTCATTTATTTTTATTAGTTGGAGGCTAATTACTTTACAGTATTGTAGTGGGTTTTGTCATACATTGACATGAATCAGCCATGGATTTACATGTATTCCCCATCCCGATCCCCCCTCCCACCTCCCTCTCCACCCAATCCCTCTGAGTCTTCCCAGTGCACCAGGCCCGAGCACGTGTCTCATGCATCCAACCTGGGCTGGTGATCTGTTTCACTGTAGATAATATACGTTTCGATGCTGTTCTCTTGAAACATCCCACCCTCGCCTTCTCCCACAGAGTCCGAAAGTCTGTTCTGTACATCTGTGTCTCTTTTTCTGTTTTGCATATAGGGTTATCGTTACCATCTTTCTAAATTCCATATATATGTGTTAGTATACTGTAATGGTCTTTTATCTTTCTGGCTTACTTCGCTCTGTATAATGGGCTCCAGTTTCATCCATCTCATTAGAACTGATTCAAACGCATTCTTTTTAATGGCTGAGTAATATTCCATGGTGTATATGGACCACTTAACTCATTTTTGAAACGTGGTAGAAATTCTAGTGGTCCAAAAGATTTTGAGCACATTGTTCATTGGGCTCATGTAACTGCTGCAGCCGTTTAAAACACTTAACAACAGTTTGCTGCTGCGTCACTTCAGTGCAACTCTGTGCGACCCCACAGACGTCAGCCCACCAGGCTCCCCTGTCCATAGGATTCTCCAGGCAAGAACACGACTGGGTTGCCATTTCCTTCTCCAGTTTTATAGAGTAGGTGTTAAAGAACATCTCTGTTAGAACTAAAGAGGCCAGCGTTTAGCAGGACTTTCTCAGGGTGGGTACTGAGCAGTGTTTTGTAAGCTGCTCAGTGACTCTCGGGCACCGCCGGATTGAAAACTCCTGGGATGAGGAGGCAGGCGTGTGGTTAAAATTTGAGAACTCAGTCCAGAGCTTGTGCTCTGAATTACAAAGGTTCATGTATATTTAATTATCCTTGTTACTTGCCTTAGAATTGAAAGATCACGTTGGACGTAACAGCTTCCCATCCGTTCATTTCCACCTCTGCTACGGACCTTGGCAACGAACTTGACTACCAGTCATCTCGGTAGAGGTTTGGTAGCAAGCTGTGCTGTCAGGCCCGTCTCCTGAGCAGGCTGCCGACGTACGTGACGGTGAAGAGGGTCAGAGCGGTGTCTCCGGCGTCACAAACGTGCTGTTCTCACACTTGGGTTTCTGCTCTTGTGCTCACGGAAACACGCCTCCCTAGACGGGCCTGAGTGACCGAGGCCGCTGCACTGAGTGAAACGCACGCACTTCAGCCGGTCGGGGTGCTTTTGTGTTCCTCATCTTGCTTTCCATGGAGGGTACTTTGCAGCATGAACCACAAACCCTGGCCTGGAACCTGGCCACTCTGGTCTCCACCGGAGAACACTGCTGTGTGACCGCTGTTGGGCAAAGAGCATTTGGTGGCAGAGGCGTTAACTTCAGTGACTCCTCGGTAGGCCTTCCCCAGTTCACCGAGACTGGCTTCTTTCACAAGCGGGGCTACCTGCACTTGTCGCCACCCTCCCTCGCGGCCCTTCCTTCTCGGCCGCGCCCTCCACTTCCTTCAGGTTGTGAAGCAGCTGCGGTTCGCTTTCCCTCTCGTGCCCTGTCACAATAGTTGCTGGAGCAAGATGAACCCAGGTCTCCTGCATTGCAGGCAGATTCTTTACCATCTGAGGCTTGTCACAGTCTGGGAGATGGGAACTACGTCTATTTCCTGGTCAGGCCACAGGTGTGTGCATTAGGCCCGGTTTTTTCAGCACTCCCAAGTCTGAGGCAGCCTTATTTGATCACTGGAGCTTTAGGGAGCCTTCCAACCAAGGACTGATTCTAGCCGGATGAGTGTGTATGGTCTAGAGAAGACTTGCAGCTGGTTTATTAGAGGGATGGGCCTTTGTTGCCGCGTGGGCTTTTCCTGGTCGTGTGACGCGGAGGCTCCTCCGTAGCTGTGGGGTGTGGGCTGCTCGTTGCAGGCGCTTCTGTTTGGAAGCACCGGCTCTAGGGTGTGTGAACTTCAGTCGTGTGGGCTCCCGCGCTCGAGCACAGGCTCAGTAGTTGTGGCGCATGGGCTTCATTGCTCCGAGGCGTGAGGGATCTTCCCAGCTCGGGAATCAAACTCGACTGGGAGGTGGACTCTATGGCTGGGCCACCAGGTGAGCCTGGGATGGACCTTTCTTTCAGTGCTTCCTTGTGTTATTTTCAGTTTGGGTAAGTGAAACTCTTTGTGCAAATGATGTGGTCTGTTTAAACGCAGATGAGGTGACACTTGTGCAAGCTGTGGCCGTTTGCTTATTCACTAATATTCTGGGTGAAATATTTGACAACAGGAACCTGGACAGATACGGCAGAGGTCAGAGCTGGCAGTCACTGACAGAGTTGTGTGCGACTTCTAAAACCTGGCTAAGTCGTTTCTCACCTCCCCCAAGGGCCATCTCAGTGCCTCTGTACCCGGATCTCCAAAACTCTCCTGGTTTTAGCAGCAGAGCCTTGCTGTGTCTGAAGCTGTGTAGTACCGTGCAGGCAGCGCACCACACTCAGGTGTCTGCTCTGGCTCAGCCAGCAGCTCTGAGCTCCATCTGTAAAGGGAAGAAAAGCTGTCTTGCAGAATCACTTTATAGTGATTGGGTGACGAGACATCGTTGGTAAAGAGTCGAATAATCAATGGTACCTATTGTTTGTTTTCACACTTCCTGCAGTGCCACCACACTGCATCCTGCTGAGAGGAACACCTCTCAGTGTTTGGCAACCCTGAAATGGGGCGGGATGAGCCAGTTATCAAATGCTTAAGTATCTGGCCGCTAACTCCAGACTCCGGAGGCAGCGGGTCATGCGGGTGAAGCTGGTCAGATGGCAGATGAAGGAGCTGGTGCTGCAGGAAACAGGTTGAGGGCCCTGTCCTGGGCACGACAGCAGCAACTTGACTCTGCTTTATTGAGTAGAACTGCCTACTACTTTAAACTTCATTTAATGCATTCTTGTCTGACCCTGAGCCACATTTTGAAAATCAGCTTTTCTTGGGCATTTAGACCTTGATTCAAAATTAGTTCCCATCCTAAACTTTTGATTATAAATGCAATTTCGCTTTGGAGATTTGAAGCAGAAACACTACAAGTGTAATGGATTAAAGTCTTACTAGTAACTGAAATTTTTCTTAAAATTTTGGGGTGCTCCAATCATACCCCTTCCCAAGGATTCTGCGTGCGCGAAAGTTGCTCATTTGTGTCCGACTTTTTGCAACCCACAGACTATACAGTCCATGGAATTCTCCAGGCCAGAATACTTAAGTGGGTAGCCTTTCCCTTCTCCAGGGGACCTTCCCAACCCAGGTCTCCCACATTGCAGGCGAATTCTTTACCAGCTGAGCTAGCAGGGAAGCCCCCCAAGGATTCTACCATAACTCATTTTTACTCTTTTCTTGGGTGTTAATTCTATTAGACCCAACAGAATACCATCCCCTCACGAGCATGGGAGTTTCTGGTATATTCGGCTAGTTACCTGTAATTTGGAACAAAGAAGCCCAAAGTTGATTAAAAGCTGCGACACTGCCTGTGAGATGCAATCCTCTTTCAGGAGAGTTGTGTTATTTTAGTCTCATACTGGCATATCTTTATTCTCCACTAAGAACACAGTGCTCCAGGATCCATTCAGATCACAAGGAGTCTGTGTTAACTTCCAGGTCTTGGGGGACCAGGACATGTACATGAAGGGAGGGTATGCTTCTGCCTCAGATGGACCCTGTCAGCATCTCATCCTAACATCACTAAAAGCGTCATCCCATCCAAGATACAAGTCTGCTCTAAGTTTGGTCGGTACAGAGGCCCCAGTCTGTCCTAAGTCAGGTATGGGTGAGACCTCGGTATGATCCGGCCTGGGGCATCACTCCTATCAGGAGCTCTGTGACTTGCTCCCCAAGGTGAGTGGGTGAGGTACAGGGCCCCAGTAAAGAGGCAGGACACTGCCCTTCAGGATGGGAGACTGGAAGGAAGAGGCCTCACTGGCTTCAACCAGTCACAGGGCAAGTGTGTTAGGTTTCAGGGCCTGAGCACACCCTCTGGGCTTCAGCTGCCTCCCCAGGAGCCATCGGCTCCTCTCCATGAAGGGTAGCACCTGTGCATGGCTACACGTTGATCAGCCCATGTCCTGCCCCTAGAATTTTGGGGGGTTAACAGCCCTCTTTTGTACCCTCTGTCCCACGCTATCCAAGCTGGCAGTGGTTCTGCTGGTGTGAAATGTTCAACCTTGCGGGTCTCCTGTGTGTGTCATGGGAATTCACTCCATCTGACAAGAGGTTTCCCTGCACATCTCTCCTGGATAACCCGTCTGTATTCCTGGCTTCTGAGACGGTTGAAAGCGGGCATCAGCCTGGGAGAGCGCCCCCTAAGGCTCACAGTACTAAAGCAGCTAAGAGGAAAGGGCAAGGCACATCCACACTTCTCAGGGCACCACCTAAGTGGCACACATTCCTTCCATTCCATTCTCATGGGCCAGGGTTTCCTGGCAAGCCCACACCTAGCTGTCAGGGAGGTGGACGATGGACTGTGGCAGGACAGCCTGAACTTTTTAAGAGAAAACTTGTCACGGTTCCGGCACGAGCCCCTCGTGTCTGTTCCAAGCACTCGTCGGTCCTGTCTGAACCACAAACGTTGGCTGCGCCCCCCGATGGCCTGTGCTTCCCGGCTACAGCCGGAGCACCCAGCAAAGATTAGGCCCCATATCGCAGGAAGTCGCTTCCGCAAAGCACCATGCTGGCCGAAGGGGAGGTGCTAGAACTGGCCGGGGGGAGTCACCAGGTTCATCCCTAGCGGCGGCTCCTTCCCTGACTCCCTGGTCCTGGGCTAAGGCCCTTCTGATGCCCGCGACGTGCCCAGTACCCACCGACTGAGCTCCTGCAGTAACGGTCCTTTTCTCCCCTGGGCCTTACGTTTACTTTTAAAGGGTGACCTCAAGCCTTGGTCAAGCTCGGACAGACCCCGCGATTCCGGAGAAAATCTCAGAAGCACAGACCCGAAATAAACAACTGAGAGGGGAGGGGGAGCTGGCGAGGCGAGGCAACCTCCCGCCCCTGACAAGCAAGCGGGCCGCGGGAGGGCCCCCCGTCCACTCAAGAGGGCTGAGGACGATAAATTTCCAGCAGCGTGTCTCCACTCCCACAGACGCGAACCTCCAAGAGCAGCCACGGCCCAAGCCGACTCATCGCGAGGTATCACGGGAAATCTCGCCGTTGTTATCGCGAGAGCAGTACCAGCACCAGCACCACCCCACCACCCGGGTCCTAGTTGAAAACGCTTCCGTTCCATTGCGCAAGCGCAGTTCTGCCACGCCCTTAATTTTCGTGAGCACACGTCGGTGCGACGTCCTGACGCCCAGGGAAGGCTGCCAACGGGAGCGCGCCTGCACTTCCTTCCCGTCCCCTGGTCAATTCTGAGTTTCGCTTCCGGTTCCTCGCTTCCGGTTCCCGTAGTTATCCTTCCGACTGGGAAGCCGGTGGCTCGGGAAGGCTAAAACCCTCAGTTCCCGTCCGGATTGGCCGCTCCCGGGGCGGCAGAGGTCCGTGGGCTGGTGCCGCGCGGCCTGAGGGCGGCGCGCTCCCTCTCAGCATGGTGAGCGGGGCGGGGACGAGGGAGGAGAGCGGCAGGCCGGGGCCGAGCCGCCCGGGGGCTCCGGCGCCCGCGTTCGGGACGTAGGGCCTTCCCGCCGCGTGAGGCCGGAGGAGACGAGGGCAGCCCCCCCGAGGGCAGGGTCCGGGGACGGGAGGATGCGCGGGTTCGTCGGTGACCGTGACGTTCTCACCAGGCGAAGCGCCGGTGGGGGGTGCGAGGCGCCGTACAGGTTATCGAAGGCGTCATGGAAGTCCGTCGGTTGATGAGAAACCCAGGCGCAGAAAGCAGCTTTCTCCGCTCTCCAGCCCTCGGAGAATATGCCCCTCGCCCCCCATTACTCCTTCACACTGGCCGCCTCAGCCCGCAGGCTCTCGTTTCCGAACTCTGACAAGCGTAGGGGTCTTCTCTCTCCATTCCCTAGCAGAGGAGAAGCTTTGGATGCTTCTGGCAAACTGTGGCCATCACACACACTCCTTTTTGTGGGTTTCCATAACCGTGGATTTCGTTGTTCGCTTGCTCAGTAGCGTCCGGCTCTTTGCACACCCGTGGACCGCAGCACTCCGGGCTCCCCTGTTCTCCACTCTCTCCCTGAGTTTGCCCGAATTCATGTCCCTTGAAAGTGTTGGCCTCTCAGTCCTGTCCTACCCTTTGTCCCTGCGGACTGTAGTCCGCCGTGGGATTCTCTAGGCAAGAATACCAGAGTGGGTAGCTATTCCCTTCTCCAGGGCATCTCCCCGACTCAGGGAAGGAACCTAGGTCTCCTGCATTGCAGGCAGATTCTTTATGGTGTGAGCTACAGGGAAGCTCTGAAAGATGGAGGGCAGGAGGAGAAGGGGTGACCGGGGATGAGACGGTTGGATGGCATCGCAGACTCAGTGGGCATGAGTTTGGGCAAACTCTGGGAGATAGTGAAGGACAGGATGCCTGTCGTGCAGGGACAGCCTGGCGTGCTGCAGTCCATGGGGTCGCAGAGTCGCACACGACTGGGTGACCAAACAGCCGCAACAGATGTCCACTGAGCTGTAATCCTGGTTACCTGGTCACATGACTCACTGTACTGGGGAGGGAGGTTCCTCTGACTTCCCTCAAAAGGAAGGACTGTGGCCAGATCCATAGTACCCAGCATGGTGTTTCACGAATTACGTTAAATACTGAGAATCTATAGGCTTTAATGAAGTAGGTAGGACACAACCTCAGCCTTCAAGAAGATGGCTTCTCCTGGGAGAGCCTCTGTTTCCTTCCTTAGTAGATATCGTGTTCGTTTATCTACCGAGCACTTAGCAAGCTTATTTCTGTGTCAGTTGGAAGAAAAAGTCAGAAAGACTCACTCTTGCTGAGCACCTGTAAACTGCATTGCTGACGTCTTCACATATTTATCTGCACCATCCTGACGCCTATGTGAGGTGAAAGGTGCCATCCTTGCCTAGAGATGGGGAAGCTGAGCCTGAAAGAGAATTTCTCAGGGATGCTAAGTGGGAGAGTGGAGAGTGGAGAGTGACACTCAGATCCTGGACTCAACAAGTACTCTGCTTACACTGCAGCCCAGAAAACGTGTTCCTTGCCTGACGCTGTTTCAGGGATAAGTGACTTGCCCTCAGTGCTACAATCGTTCCATAAAACTCACTTGTAAAAGCCAGTCTTTCTTTCCTCAAGTTCCACTGGCACAGAGCAGACAGCTGTGATGCTAGGTGGAAAGTGCCTGGTAGGTATAGACCCAGACAAAGGGGAGCAGCCTAGCTGGAAAGAAGGGATGACAGGAGAATTGTCTGGGATGATGATGACACAGGTGGATTCTGAAGGAGGAGTGGCCAGATCCAAGGGAGTGGGCACGGGGAGGAGTCGAGTTTAGGGAGAGCGGCTAAGTCAAGTCACAGGATTTGGACATCTTGATTTTTGTTGTCATTGCTGTGCCCATGCTTCTGACTGTGTCCTGGTGAAGCTTTTCTTTAAATAAAACCTTTTTCTAAAAAGTAAAAGAAAAAGCTCTTTTAAACATGGATGTTTTTCTTCCCCTCTCTTTTCCTTTTAGGCCCGAAACGCAGAAAAGGCCATGTGAGTATCAAGTCCCTTTTGCCTGTAAATTTTATGCTGCTTAATTGCCACCTGGGAGCTCCTTTTCTGTTTGGTCTTTGGGTACACGTTTCTTCCTCTCCCTGTGTTGAAGTAGCGTGCCTATATCTGCCCATGTAGTTATCTCCCCTGAAGTGTTTTCTCACTGCTCCCAGAACTTACACTGTGGCCAGGGTAGGGGGGGAGGTGGCAGGGCTGTGAGAGCGGCGGTCCATCATATCAGTATTTTTAATACTGCAGCAGGTTGCTGAGTTTCCCACAGTCCTTACCTGCCATGTGGGTAGAGGGGATACGGGGGTGTTTACAAAACACAAGTCCTTATGAGCCCTGCTCTTTGGAACACGGAAACCCATGATGTCTCTGGTTTCTTGACAGCAGTGTGTATGTGTGTATATGAGTGAGGAGTGACAACTAACATGGGCATGAGCACATTTACCCATCCAGGAACTTGGGTGATGAGAGACCTGTAAGCGGGATCTAACGGTCTTCTCTCTTCCCGGCAGGACGGCCTTAGCAAGATTTCGCCAGGCTCAGCTGGAAGAGGGGAAAGTAAAGGTTGGTTTAAACCTTCCTCGTGAGTTTTCCAGTAGGAAGGACGAGCGCCGGCAGACTCCAGACCCTCCTCTTCTTGCCGGCGCTTCCCTGTATCCTAAAGGGTCTGTTCACCTGAAACGCAGGTGAAGCTCCCTGTCGCGGGGGCCGTGTGATGATCTGTCACCTCGGTGATGTGATGCTTGGGTCTCCCTGTTATCCCAGCCCGGGCTCATGTTCAGTACTAGAAAGTGGGGTGTGCTCTGGGAAGCACCTCTAACCTGAGACCAGCGGATGACCTCCACTCGTGGAGACTCAGCCAGGTTAGGGCTAATATATGCTGTTCTTTGAGTATTTTTGTTTTGTTTTTTAAAAGTATCCACTCAGCCTGCACCTGCACCCACACACAGATACACATATTTGTTCTAAACACTGATCGACGTCGTCGCTTAAGGCAGTATAAATATGCCGTGAAGTGGGTATAGCCAGGTGTACTTTTCCATTTCTCTGTGACGCTTGACCCTGAACAACACAAGTTTGAACCCCGTAGATTTGCTCATACACAGGTGTTTTTCAACAATAACTGCTATGGAGCTGCACGGTTGTGGTTGGTTGAATCTGTGGCTGCAGATGAACCGCGGATCCTGGGGGCTGACGCAGTCAGACTTGGATTAACCCCCACGTTGCTCATGGCCAGGTGCAGGGGGCGTTTCCCTTGTGTGTGGGCTCCCGTCCCAGGTGCGATGCAGTGAGGAACCCCCACGTTGCTCGTGGCCAGGGGCAGGGGGCGTTTCCCTTGTGTGTCGGCTCCCGTCCCAGGTGCGATGCAGTGAGGAACCCCCACGTTGCTCGTGGCCAGGGGCAGGGGGCGTTTCCCTTGTGTGTCGGCTCCCGTCCCAGGTGCGATGCAGTGAGGAACCCCCACGTTGCTCGTGGCCAGGGGCAGGGGGCGTTTCCCTTGTGTGTTGGCTCCCGTCCCAGGTGCGATGCAGTGAGGACCCCCCACGTTGCTCGTGGCCAGGTGCAGGGGGCGTTTCCCTTGTGTGTCGGCTCCCGTCCCAGGTGCGATGCAGTGAGCGTTTCTGCCTGTGCAGTTATGTCCTGAGGAGAGATAGCAGAGTGAGCCTCAGGGCTTGGCGAAGCCCGCCGGGGGCTGAAGCTGCAGGTGTCTGTAGACGGTTAGACATTTGAGGCTTCAGGCCTGAGTCAATTGTGACTGTTGTACGAAGCTTGTAATTTCGTGCAAGATAGTGGTAACATGTGTATTTTGCTTTTCCTTAGGAGCGAAGACCCTTCCTTGCCTCAGAATGTACTGAACTGCCTAAAGCCGAGAAGTGGAGACGGCAGGTGCGGTTGAGCGAATTCGATCGTTACAGAAACAGCGAGTCTCTGATTTTCATTATCTGCATGACCCTTAAACCATGTGTCTAAGAATTTTTAATTAGATATTTCTTATGCTATTAGACTTATTCAAAAGTCATAAAAACGTATTACCTTTTATTTTTTTTACAGATCATTGGAGAGATCTCAAAAAAAGTGGCTCAAATTCAGAATGGTAAGCTAGCCCCTCTCTTTAAAGTGTTTGATTCTCGCATCCACAGCTCGGCGTGGGGATGTCAGCCCCTCGGTGGTCAGTAGAGCTGAAAGGTAGGACATGAGTGAGGGCAGAGAGGAGCTGAGAGCGCCGTCAGTCGGCTCCACCCACGCGCCGTTTATGGAGCGCTCACCTCACAAGGAGGAGTACACTGTCTTTTCTAAGAGCACATGGAATATTTGCCAAAATAGAGCTCATTTTGCATTGGAAAATAAATGCTAGCAAACAGAAAATAATTAAAAATTTCCAAAGTATAATTCACTGATTAAAACACAGTTAATGTAGCAATCAGTAACAGAAAGATACCTGGAAACGTCCTAATTATTTAGAAATTAAATATACTTCTAAACAACCCATATACCTAAAGGAAGACCTCAAGAAAATTAGAAAATGTTTTTAATTGAATGATAATGAAAATGTAATGTCAGAATTCAGGGTATGTAAAAAGCAGTGCTTAGATGAAAATTTATAGCATTAAAGTAAAATAAAAAAAGAAAGGTCTCAAGTCAGTGATCCAAGCTTCTCCCCTAAGAAACCAAAAAGGAAAACGAGCAAATTAATTCCAAACTAAGCAGAAGGAAGGAAATAAACAGAAGATGAGTGGAGAAAGTAGATGAAAAGTGGGTTCAATAAAGTCGATAAACTTCTAGTCCAGTTAGACTAATGAAGAGGAAAAGACGCAGGTCAGTAACGGCAGGAATGAGGCTGGGGATGTCACCACAGTCTCACCGTTGAAAGGACCGGGGACCGCTCGACGCAGGTCAGGGCTGTCAGTCAGCAGCCTAGCTGAGGTGGGCCGCTCCTCAGAGGACATGGAGTAGTGGCTCCGAACCCTCGGTGGCGTTGCTCCCTCCAGCCCCGCCTGCCCCGGGCATTTCGTGATATCTGGAGGGGCTTTATCTATTAGAGGAACTGAATTCATAGTTAAAACCTTTCCAGCAAAGAGGACTCCAGACCCAGATGGCTCCACTGGCCAGTTCAAGTATTTAAGGAATACCAGGTCCACAGTTTCTTCTGGAAGATTGAAGAAGGAACACTTCCCAGTTTGCTTTTTGTATATTTTAGTATGTGTTCCCTTGATCCTGAAATCAGAAAAAGACATTACAAGAAAAGGAAAAAGCTACAGGCCTATATTCCTTACTGAATTTGGCCATAAAAATCTCAACAAAGGATTGCATGGTTGATTCAGCATTCAAAAATTAATTCACTGTGTCATCATTTTAAAGAAGAAAAACCATATCATCTCAGTAGATGCTGAAGTATTTGACAGAGTTTCTCATGCATTCATAAAAACTCAGGTAGCTAACTGGGAATAAACAGGAACTTTTTCCTTTCCCTGATGAAACACTTCTACCAAAAAGCCTATAGCAAACGTCATGCTTAATGCTGCAAGATTGGATGCTGTCCTCCCAAGATCAGGAACAAGGTGAAGAGATCCAGTCTCACCTCTTCCATTCAACATTGTACTGGAACTCCTGGCCAGTACTGTAAAGTGAGGAAAGGAAATAAAGACTCAAAGGCTGGAAGGGAAGAAAAATGCTCTGTTCCGAGACGACCTAGTTTTCTATGTAGATTTCCCAAGGAATCCACTGAAGGATTCCCACAGTGAATAACTGGGTTTAGCCAGATGACAGACTAGAAACTCCATATAAAGATAGTCCAATTTCTGTGTACTAGCAGTAACGTTTGGAACTAGAGCATTTTTAAAAGTGTTATTTACAGAAGCATCAAAAGGCAAGAGATACTTAGATATAAATCTAGTAAGATACGCGCATGGTCTGTATGGTGAAAACTATGAAGCAGTGATGCCAGGTAGTAAAGAACCAGTGAAATGGAGACATAGTGTTTGTGAAGGGAAAGACTCAACATCAGAAAGAGGTCAGTTTTTTTCCCTTTTAAAATCTATCACAGAAACCCAGCATGGTGTTTCGGTTTATGTTGACGAACTGTAAAATTTAAAACTTTGCCTTTCCGTATGAAATTGTAGCCAAAAGAACTTTGAAGAACAAAATTGGGAGTACCCGTAATACCTAATTTCAAGATTCAGTGTAAGGCAAAAGGCATCAGGATAACGTGGTGGTGAGAGGCAGACAGACCGACCAGGGGCGCAGAGCAAGGGGTCCAGACAGAGGGGCACAGGCGAGCGGTCCAAGGACCTGGCGAGGGGACAGAAGCGCTTCAGTGGAGGAGAGGAGGGCTTCTCCCTCCCAGTGGGCACAGGGCGCTGCACTTTAGCATGTCAAGGATCCCTGACCGTCTTCCCGCCTCTCGTGGGATGCCCCTGTCGCCAGTGACAGCGCCGCAGCAGACTCCTGTGCCGTCCCCTTAAATCCGCCCTGGGGGCTCCTTGTCAGAGGTGTCCCCGGGACCGGCAGACTGCTTTCCCGGAAGGACTGAGCCGTCACAGGCTGCCCGCCCCGGGGCTGACACTGCCTCCCTGCTCCCTGACACTGGACGCTGAGTGCCCCACCACTGAGCTGTGATACGTTAGAGCTGGTGTAAATGGAGCCGCAGGACAGCTTCAGTTTGTATTTCTCTGGCTGCTGCTGAGGAGGAAGTTTTTTTTTCAGAGTTTTTCTGGTGCTGCTGGAACTCTATTCACAGTCGTCACCCTCCCGTGATTTTGGTGTGGATGGTTTTACTCGTAAGCTGAAGTAGTGTTTTTGCGTCGCCCACCTCTGTCGGTGTTGACACTCTCTCTTAGGGGTATGACGTGAAGCGGTATTTTCAGGAAATGATGCGACATTTCTCTTTTCTTAGCTGGTTTAGGTGAATTCCGGATCCGCGACCTGAATGATGAAATTAACAAGCTGCTGCGAGAGAAGGGACACTGGGAGGTCCGGATCAAGGAGCTGGGCGGTCCTGACTACGGGGTGAGTGAGCGGCGGCCCGGGGTCGGCTCGGGAGCTTCGTGCAGGCAGCGTGGGTCCTGTCTCACTGCAGCCCCGCAGGCCGGCCGTAGACGAGGCCCTCGAGAAACGAAAGGAGCCTTGAAAGGGCCTGGTGTGTGTGCACGGGAACCGTGAAAGCACAGGGCCAGTGGGGTAGAAGGTCCCCTGCGTGGGCCCCAGAGTGTGTACCGGCCAGGCGTCTCCCTGGGCCGCTTGTGGAGACGACCTTGGTGCCGCACGTGCGTCTCTGAGCCTCCTGAGGACGGGGACAGCCCTTCCACTGCGGCTTCTGTGCTCGAGGGGGCCTGGAGACAGGCTGCTCTGTGCTTGCTTTGGGTTCTTATTTTTCCTCTGGATTCCTTAAGGCACTTATTTTGGAACGGTGACTTTCAGGCTTTTAGCACTGTGACCGGCTGTATGAAACACACAGTCACTGTGTCACAGTGCAGTACCACGAAGATGTGCTGAAAAGATGCCTGGTGTACCACACTGCATTGTTGCCGCACTTTGATATTTTCTACTCGGTTCTATTTTGATTTTTAACAAGTTGATAATTATGACACATGTAGTGGAGTTCATGACCCAGACCTGCCCCATTTGCCCAGGTCTTTGAACCAATTGTATCTAGTCAGTGGCCTGTCGTGTAGTTATGTAAGAAACATGGGCAGTGTTTCTGTGTGTTAATCTGGCCCCCTCTTAACACAGAGCCATAATTCTCGGGTCAGTGCCTGGCCTAAACTGAGGCATTTATCTTCACATTCCTTGAGCACGTGTGCTGGGAACACTGCCTCCGCATCCTCGTTATTTCTGTGACACTGGTTCAGCTCCCTGTCGGACGGCGTGAGTGCCCCTTGTTACCCATCCTGGAAGGGTTGCGGAAGCTCCCAGAGTCAGTAGTGACGTCTCTATTTCCTTCTGGAGTTTTCTAACGTTAAAGAGTTGACGTTTCTTTCCCGGGTGTGAGAGTAACACACTTGGGGCCGTTCACTTTGGCTCGGGCATCTGGCGGTGTCGCGTGCTCCATGCCTCGCGGCCTCTCCCCTGCCGCACACGGTCTCGGCCAGACTCACTTCCTGTGGCCTGCAGGTGTCACCATCATCGCGTTTAGTGGAGAGAATGCCGTCTTCTGGATATGTCATTTGTCCTCTTCTACTAGTTGTCATGTAGATTTTTTGCAACTTTTTAAAGCTTTTTTTTCTTCACTTAACATTGTGTTACAAGCAGTTTCTAAGCCAGTGTAAGTGAGTCGTACGAACTGTCATTTGTCAGCTACAGAATATGTTCCACTCGTGAACATGCTATAATTTACTTAAATCATCCATTTAGGTTGATTTTTAAAAGCATTAAAGAAAGTACTGAAGTGTATTTCTGTGTCCATTAATATTTGCTACTTTTAGCGTCCCTGTCTTCAACTATATCTGGAAACATGGAAATAGTGGGTTTACTGATCAGATCCATTTTCTCTTTTTCCTTCCCCCTAAGAAAGTTGGCCCTAAGATGCTGGACCACGAAGGGAAGGAAGTCCCAGGAAATCGAGGTTACAAGTACTTCGGAGCAGCGAAAGACCTGCCCGGCGTCAGAGAGCTGTTTGAGAAAGAGCGTGAGTAGCTGGTGTTGGAGAGGGCGTCAGCCTCGGTCGTGGTTCTGGTTGTAGCGGCGCCGTGTGCGGGGCACTGCCCGTGTCGTTGGGGGTCACCGCTCCCGGGTGTGAATGGAAACCTCGCGCGTTGGGCGTTGCAGTGGCAAGCTCGGGGCACACCTTGGGTGGGAGCGGGAACCCAGAGCTGCGGGGTGCCGGGTTGCAGGCCCTGCACAGACTTGTCTCCGAGTGAACACAGAGACGCTGTGAGCGCAGAGTGTCCCAGTTGGCGTTTGTCGGGGCAGCGCTGAGGTCCATCACTCAGGTTCATGTTTCAGTTACTCGTTGGGCTGAAAAAACTCTTAACTGTAGGACAGACGACACCTCGGGCCCACGCCGCTGTGCACCAGTGGAGATGCGTGGTTCCGAGCCGGACACCTGGCTCTGGGCACCTCCGGAATGCTACCGGAATGCTACCGGTCTGGAGTTTGCCTGCATCTTAATTTTGACTTTTCAAAAAGCAGTCCAAGCATTCCATAGGAAAAAGTGTGGAAAGCAGAGAAGGGCGAGACCAGGGTTCCTCCCCCTGCTGACGTTCTGCTGACCGCTTCCAATGCTGCCTTCATGAAACCCCGCTTGTTCTCTTTTTTGGCCTCCCTGGGAGGCTTTTGGGATCTCAGTTCCCCTACCAGGAATTGAACCCGGGCCCTGTCAGTGATAGCCTGGAATCCTAACCACTGGACCAGCATGGAACTCCCAAGCCCTGCTTCTTCTTAAATTGATTATGTGTGCAAACTAGTTTTGCATGTGTCATTGACATTGCTTAAAATAATTCAGAATGTAAATATCATACCATTTATTACGAAAGCAATAAAATTTTATTATAGACATGTAAAATACAGAAAATCAGAAAAAACACCCACATTTTCATATCCTACAGTTGATGGTTGTTGACATGTTTGGGTGTATTCCCTTTCTGATTTTTAAGGCTCCTAAAGTGAGGTGGTGCTGTGTTTGTGTTTTTGTTTTTGCATTTACTTTGACTTTAAATTTATTCTCATGTTTTCCAGGCATCGGTTGTTTTTTTTGGGAAGAAAGTGCCCAAGTTAGTCTTCAGTAATTTAAATGTCAGCACAGCCCCCTCTTCCACCGTCCCAGTGCTCTGCTAGGGCTGCCCCGTCGCCGTTGCTGTCTGTCTGGAGAGCTCCCTTCCAGGCCCTCCCTGCTCTTCCCTGCCTGTCTCATCGGCTGAGTCACGTCAGCCTGAGTGACAGGTGGCCCCAGCCCGGCTCCCTGGAGGCAGAGCAGCCCGTTTCCTGGCTCCTGTGACTGATGCGTTTGTCCTCAGGAATGGCTGGCCCCAGAGCCCTTGCTCCTGCTGCCGTTGCGGCGTCCGTCTTGCGAGCGCTTCTCTGTCTCCCTCCTTTGGGGTGGCAGGCTGTCCGTTATCCACTTAGAGCATGTCCTCTCTCAGCGACAGTTTACCACCATCCCGCACCACCAAGACGCTTCAGGCATGGACCCCAGGGTGAGCCCCGGTGGCGTCAGTTGGATCCCAGCTCCCTCCTGCGGCCGGAGCGCACGCGGAGCTCCGAGCCCGTCCTGGGCGCGGCCCTCAAGGCACAGGGCCGGGCAGGGTCGCTGGCACCTGCGTGGCCGATGGAAGGGGGCTTCCCCATACCTGCGCCCGTCGTGTGAGGACCGTCCGTGTCCCCCCTAGTCCTCCTTACAAAGCCGAGCGACGCGAAGGATGAGTCTCAGGGCTGACCCATGCTGACTCTGACCACCCCTCCTGTGTAGGCTTTTAGCTACTTCAGCATCTTCACAACTGTAACATTGTTGCTGTTACTTGAAACAGTATGTTACTTCTATTTTTTGTTTCCCTGATTACTAATGAAATTGACAGTTGAATTCAGTTACTATTAATCATTGAAATTTTCATACCTACAGGTTTCTTCTCCTTCAGTTAATCAGCTTTTATTCTTCGACCAGTCAGCTGGACTTTCATTTCCCGTTTGATTTTCCAGAATTACTACATATTTTGAACAGTGATACTTAGTCTGAATGTATTTTCTTCAGGAATTTCTCATGGATCTTTTTTGCTTGCAGTTTCTTCTGTCTTCATTAGCCATTATGGCATTTCCTGTGAAAGCACCCCATGAAGCCGCGGTCAGGGGGTCACAGGACACCCTCCCCTTGCCAGGCAGTTCATAGTCCTGGGGGGGCTCCAAGTTTTCACTGTTGTATGAACAATGCTGTGACGCTCATCTCCATAAAGCTTTGCTAGCTTTTGTTTTTGCTTTTTAAGTTACGATAGATTCCTTCTAAGCGACTGAGTCTAAAACATCAATGCTGGTTTAAAAGAGGTGTCGTGTGTGGCCCCGTTCCTAGTGGGGTGGAGTGCCCGTCTCATGGTGTTTTCAGGAACACGCGTGCTCTGTGCCTGCTCAGCGCTGTGTGGGGCGGCGTGAGTGTGGCTGTGAGGGGAACCCGGCTAAGCGGATGGATTCTTTCTTCCAGCCCTTCCTCCTCCACGAAAGACGCGCGCCGAGCTCATGAAGGCGATCGACTTTGAGTACTACGGCTACCTCGACGAGGACGACGGCGTCATCGTGCCCTTGGAGCAGGAGTGTGAGAAGAGATGTAGGTCTGCGGGCGTCGCTGCTGACTGCCGGCGGCTGGTTTCTGTTCTCACCTTCCAAAAAGGAGCTTTTATTTTTCTTTTTCTGAGGAGTTTATTTTCTATTAGGACTTTGTAAAAAATTGAAGTATAGTTGATGTGCAATATTATATACAGGTGCACAGTATGATGATTCACAATTTTTAAAGGTATATTCCACTAGCAAGTTATTGGAAGAATATTTTCTATATTCCCTGTGTCGCACAATATATCCTGTTGTATTCTTTAGATTCCACAAGTAAGTGATAGCTTTCAGTGTCTGTCTTTCTGTGGCTTGCTTCACTTAGTGCGATACTGTCTAGGCCCGTCCACGTTGCTGCGAATGGCACAGCGTCTTCCTTGTTGAGCAGGATTCCATCATGTGTCTGTCTTCATTCATCTGTCAGTAGACCCTTCCGTTGCTTCCACGCCTTGGCTGTTGTAAATGGTGCTGCTCTGAACGTTGGGATGCTGTATCTTTTCTAATTAGTACCTCTGTTTATTTCGTGTATGAACCCAGGAATGGAATTGCTGGATCATGTGTTAGTCCTGATTTTGTTTTTTGAGGAACCTCAGGGTGTTGAACCGGGGATGATCTGGGTGTGTCCCCCGCCAGCCTCCCTGGAGCTCCCATGGGACCCTGCCCTTCCGTCTGGTGCCTGCCTGCTGGGGCTGGAGCAGGGTCACCCTTTGCAGGGGGCAGGCGTCGGTCACCTTTGCCCCGAGTGGCGTGTAGCTTTCTCAGAGGCCAGAATGACTGACGCCTGCTGTCCCTCGTCTGCAGACAGAGCCGAACTAGTGGAGAAGTGGAAAGCAGAGCGAGAGGCCCGCCTGGCCAGAGGAGAGAAGGAGGAGGAGGACGAGGAGGAGGAGGAGAACATCTACGCTGTGGCCGAGGAGGAGGTGCGGCTGCGCCGTGGCGGGCGGGGGGGAGGGCGCCCAGGCCGGGGTCGGGGTCAAGGTCCGGTCTACCCCGGACGGGGGTGAAGGTCCCCTCGGGGTCCCAGTGAGGACCGCTGAGGGCACTCGGGGATCTGCGCTCCACGTCGGGTGGCTTACCTGCGTCTCAGAGCTGGGCCCTCTGGACCTGCTGGGCCTGGATTTGTAGGCACGTTTGAAGCCCCTGACCTCACTGAGCTTCAGTGGCGGAGCCGGTAGTGTGTCTGTGGGTCCTAAACCCCCACGCCCACCTTACCATGGGAAACCGGAGCAGAGGCCGCCTCGGGAGTCCCCGGTGGGGTGGAGCTGCGGCCCCGCGGGCAGAGCCCCCTGCTCCCAGCTCCCCTGTCGGGCTGGCCCAGGGTGAAGTGGATTTGTGGACTGGGCCAAGGGAGGGCAGTCAGCCAGGCCGGGACGACAGGTCGGGCCCTGTGAGACACCGCGTGGTGTGCCCACACGGCAGCGACACGGACACAGGCTCAGGAGCTTGGCGACTTGGGCACGGTCGCTCGGGAGCTGGCAGAGCTGTGGGGCGTGCCCTCAGCAGGCGTTTGAAGCAGGATGGCAGCGTGCCCTGCCAGGGTTTTCTCTGGTGCAAATGACCTGTTCGCTTTTTCACAGGGTGTTGGCTTACTTGGTGGCCAGCAATGAGTGAGTGAGGCCCACTCAAGGGGCCTCGCAGCCACACGCTCTGTCAGTAGCTCAAGATCCCAGGGCCAGCCGGGTCAGCAGGCCCCGTGGGAAAACGGCAGGTGTGACAGGAGCTCTGGGTAGCGTTGCAGGGCGGGTGGGGCCGTGAACACTTCCTGGGGAGGTGACCCTTTAGCGGAGCTCAGAAGTCCATGTGGCGGCAGGGGCGGCAGGGGACAGCATGCGCGGACGACCCCAGGGGAGTGTCGGGGCCAGAGGACCAGCTGGTGGCTAGAGCCCAGAGCGGGGCCTCGGCATGAGCAGAGACTGTGGGAGGTGAGCTGGGACCAGCAGGGGCCCTGACCCCCCCCCAGGGGACGGGTCTTCCTTCATCATAAGAGTGATGGAAAAGCACCAAAGGGTTTAAAAAATCGTTTGTGTTGGAATCATCATAGATTTAAGGCAGGTGCTATGAGAGGTCCCGCAGGTCCTTCCCCCGGGGCCCCGGAGGCTCCGTCCTGAATGCTGACGGCATGGCTTCCACGAGGAGCCTGCCTGCTGTGACCCGTGTGTGCGGGGCTGTGTGTGCCGTCACTTGTGTGGATCCTGGGGCCACAGCTGCCTTTCTTGTTATGCGTTCACCCACTGGTGGGGTGGGGGCAGACAGGACGGTCTGGCCCTGAGACTGGCGGCCAGTGGACCCAGCTCCGCACGGACCTCCTCTGCCCTCGGGCCCCCAGGGCCGTTCCTTAGTCATGAGTGAGCGCTGCTGACTCAGGCAGCGTCTGAGTGATGCTTCTGTGCCTGTGGTCCCTTTTTACTAGTTTTAAAAATAGATAATGTATTCGGGGCTTCCCTGGTGACTCAGATGGTAAAGAATCTGCCTGCAAGTTGGATCCCTGGGTCAGGAAGATCCCCTGGAGAAGGGAATGGCAACCCACTCCAGTATTCTGGCCTGGAGAATCCCACAGACAGAGGAACCTGGAGGGCTACAGTCCACGGGGTCACAAAGATAATATGTTCACATGACTCACAACCCGAGAAATACATAAAGGTTTCACACAGCTCCCCATTCGCAGCCTCGGCCTCCAGGCCCGGCTCTCGCTGAGGTCGCTGGCCTCTCTGCTGCTTTTCCTCCTCGGGCAGGAGGCCGCACCATCCACGGTGCAGTGTTGGCTCTTGCACTTGGCGCTGCTGAGAGCGCGTCCCGGGACTGATTTCCCCTGTTACACGGCTGCTCGCGGGGGCCTCTCGAGGTCCCCTCCGCACAGCCTCTGGTTGCTGTCGCTTGCAGTCCGACGAGGAGGGCGGCCCAGACAACGGCGGGGAGGACGGGCAGCAGAAGTTCATCGCGCACGTGCCGGTGCCATCGCAGCAGGAGGTAGGACGCCGGGCCCGCCGCGTGCTTTTCTGGGTCTTTCCTGTCCCTGCGGGCAGCTCTGACTTTGGGAGGAGGGGGCTGGGGCCGTGGACGCAGGCCTGGCCGCCGCTCCAGCCTGCCCCTGCCACCCGCAGATCGAGGAGGCGCTGGTGCGCAGAAAGAAGATGGAGCTGCTGCAGAAGTACGCCAGCGAGACGCTGCAGGCCCAGAGCGAGGAGGCCCGGCGGCTCCTGGGCTGCTAGGCCCCCTGCCGCGGCCTCCCCGCCCTGCTCACGCACACCTGCGCCCCCGAGGGCCGCTGGCTGGACCCCTTGGCGTCGCCCCAGCCACGTGCAGCTGACGTGAGAGCCCGCGCACGCGTGTCCTGAGCATGTAGGACGGGCTGCTCCCGCGGCCTGCAAGTGTCAGTGGCCGCCCCCCCGTCGGTGGTGGGGGCGGCCAGCTGGGGATGCCCCTGAGAGCACAGACGTCTGTGATGCCTCCTGCGCGCTGCGAAGACGCCCCTGCCACCCGTCTCGCCCCCAGCTGGCAGGAGGGCGCGTTTGCTGCTTCCGTCTGGGAGTGGTTTTGCACAGAGCTATTTTTATTAAAGACTTTTGTATGAAAGGCAGCCTCGGGTTTCGGGCTGTCTGTGTGAGTCCTTGTCTGCGATAGGAGCTGAGGGGGCTCGCGGGGCGGGGCCTGTCTGGGGGGCGGGGCGCGTCTGGGGGCGGGGCCCGTCTGGGTGCTGAGGGTGCAGGGCGTCCCGCCCAGCCCGAGCCTACGGCCCTGGGTCAGCACTGAGGTGGGGCCCACGTTTCCAGCCCGTGGGAGCGCCGAGGGTGCCCCGGGGTGGTCCAGATCTGTCGATCCCGCCTAGTCTCTCCTTCCCAGTGGGGAGAACCCACCGCAAGGGCCCCAGCTCGGGGCAGGGGAACCTGGGGGTCCCCACCCTCAAGAGGGGTCCTGGGCGTGTCGGCAGAGCCTTGTGGGCCTCGTGGAGCAGGCTGTGCCAGCCTGAGAGAGGGGCGGCCTTCAGCCTGGGACCTGCCTGACAGAAGTTCTGAGCCGGGGACGGCGGGCGTTGGGCGGGTGGGCAGCGGCTGTGGGGAGACCGCCCAGGGCTTCAGGGCTGTGAGGAGGGCGGGAGGGACCGCCTTGGGAGCCCCTCAGCCGAGCCCCTGGGCAGGTGTGTGCGGAGAGCTGGCAGGGGTCGAGGCTGGAGGGCTGGGGGCCCCGGAGACCCAGCTCCCACCGGGGCCTGGCCCGGACGGGCCTCAGGAGCGAACACGGGCGCTTGGAACAGGTCCCTCTGGGCCCGGGCCTCCGCGTCCCCGTCTGAAAGGCTGGACTGGACCTGCTGCCTATGCGTTCACCCCGCAATGGGCAGCCCCCCGGGGCAGGCAGAGGGGTGGCGGGCCCTGAGACCACCTGGCCTGGGTCCCAGCCAGGCGGCGGGTGGGGCCCAGCGAGGGGTTTCCCTCCCCACCCCCGGACTCCCAGGGCCTCGCAGTGGCTCCCGGGACGGGTGCAGACAGCGTGGGCACCAGCATCCCGGGTGAGAACGCCGGCCCTGATGTGGAAGCGGCTTGCCGAGGACCCACAGGCGTCCGCGGTGGAGACGGGCCCAGCTCCAGGTTTCCTCCTGCCCCGCAGGGGTCCCCCCAGGCCTGGACCGTCGGTGGAGTGCGGCCACTGGTGGGGCGTGGTCACGGAAGCTCATGCCCAGAGGCGGCTCAACCTGTCCCAGGAAATGTTGGTTGACGAAATCTCTCTTGTGGCTCAGACAAGCTTTGGCTCTGCCCGCAATTTCCAAAACAGAAGTGTCCACCTTGCTCTCCGCTCTCCCCTCTCCCGAGCCGCTGCCCCCGACACCGTGGGCCAGCCTGCAGTGAGCAGGCGCCGGGGTCAGCCTTGTTTCCCCGAGAAGGCCGCACCCCATTTCTGCCGGCATCAGCGTCTGGCTGCTTCCTCCCAGAGCTCCGCAGGATGGTGGGGATGCCCCTCGCTCTCTTCCAAGCTCTGACAGCAGCATCCACCTGGGACTTGGGCGGTGTCAGGGCCCCCAAAGAGCAGATGGTCCACAGAGAGTCACACTTGCCCCACCCACCGCCTCACCGTCTGGTTCCCTCCCTCACAAACAGAGCAGCCTGTGGAGGGAAGGTCCCCTGAGGGCTGCCTGGCTCTTCCCTGCACCAAGCCTGGGCTTCCGCCCTGGAAGGATGAACTATTCCCCCGCCTCCCCTGGCCCCCCTGTGGAGCCAGACAGCTGTGAGGGGCCTCAGGGTAGGGGGGTGGGGCAGGGGGAGAGGTGAGTGGGGGTACCCAGCGTCTAGCTTGTCCTGGTGTCTGTCTGGCAGGCCCGCTCGGCAGGGACTGGGGGCCGTGAGAAGCTGCGAGGGGAGGAAGCCAGGGCGGTTCTCCCCGGGGGGCACAGCCTGGGGTGGGGCCGCAGCGGCTGTCCTGAGGTTGCCCTGGCCACCAGGGGCCCTCCCAGCCCTCAGCCAGCACCAGCCCAGGGCTCCTCAGTCAGCAGCTGCTGCAGCATATTATTACGTCCTTGCAGCTCATTTTCTCGTGTTCTGCAGCAGGCACGCTTCGGCATTAGGAGCACGGTGTCATGGCTGATGTCGGGTCTTCATGGTGTTTTTCCACCTTTATTTCTGATCCGGGGCACATTTTCAGCCCTAGCCTGGTCTCTGCCCATGAAAGAAAACTCGGATGGTGTTGTTCGAGGCTGTATATTTTAACAGCGGTGACTGTAAACGGGAAAAGGTGGGAAAAGAAGGGAGGAAGGAAGGGGAGAAAGGCTGCCTCTCCTCTTGGCGGAGTTCTGACCCCGGGGACGCGGGTGTCACAGCAGATGCCTCCGGCTGCCGGCGAGCCTGGCGCCCCCGTGTGGCAGGGCACACACAGTGCCGGTTCATCCCGCCAACCCACCGCTCTCTTGTAAGAATATTCAATTCTTTTCGGCTCTGCGGGTCTTTGTTGCTGCACCGGCTTGTCTGCAGTCGCGGTGCACGAGCTTCTCATCGCGGTGGGGAGCACAGGCTCTGCGGTTGAGGCACGTGTGCTGAGTGGCTCTGGAGCACACGCCTAGTTGCTCCACAGCACGTGGGATCTTCCTGGACCTGGGATCAAATCCATGTCTCCTGCATTGACAGGCAGACTCTTTACCTGAGCCACCACGGAAGCCCAAGAATGTTAAATTCGTGAAACATTTTTTAAAAATACATTTTTATTGATTGATTGATTTGCTGCATTGAGTCTTAGCTGCGTCACGTGAGGGCTTTCATTACTGTACATGGGCCCTCTAGCATGGCGCAGTAGCTGGAGCAGACTTAGTTGCTCCGTGGCATGTGGGATCTTAGCTCCCAGACCAGGCATTGAACCAGCCTCCCCTGTGTTGCAAGATGGATTCTTAGCTACTGAACCACCAGAGAAGTCTCTCGACACATTGTGAAAAATTTAGGGAATGTGCGTTACTTATCTAGATTTGGGGCATTAGGTGAGATCAAGATTTTTGCATTACTGCAGTTCAAAGGAGTATAATTCAGATAAAATGCCACTCAGGAATTTGCCTCCAAAGAGAGGAAATGCAGGCATTTTTTAAACAACATGACTGAGATATACTTGACAGACCATAAAAACCTATTGCTAGCTTACAACTGAATGATTTTAATAAATCTGGGTCATGCAGCCCTCTCAACAGTCCAGTTTTACAACCGCCCCCTCACACCACAAATGCAAATGGTGGCTGGGTTTTCTGGCAAAATCCATACCCAGGTCAGCGTTCCTCCCTCTGCAAACCAGTTCCAGGAAAGGCCAGTTCAGCTAGCCAGCCACGTGTCCAGGGCACCCACAGCTGTCCAGCCTTCTTCCTTCCTCTCCCCCTGCCTCCAGTGGCAGGACCTTGGCCTGTCCTATCTCCTGGACACACCTTTCCCTCTCCCCTCTCCACCTGGTGCTGTGGGAGGCCACTCAGGGCTGAAGGCAGATGTTGCTTTCTGGGGCTCGGGGCTGTGAGTGTCCCAGAGCTAGCCAGAGCTAGCCCAGTGCGTGGAAGCCTTCTGTCCCAGGCCCTTCAGTCTGCTTCTGCCCTGGATAGAGGCTGTGTCCTGTGGCTCCAACCTGATGCACCAGAGCGGGGCCCCCAGACCTGCTCTCCCTGGCACCTGGGGGCCTGCCTGGTGCCGCTGGGCATCTCCCATGGGACTGGAGCGCGTAGCTCTTACCCCTCCTCCGTGGGCCTGCCTCATCTCCTGGCCCGGGCCCTTTTACCAACTCAGCCAGTGAAGGCGGTCCAGGCTCTCGGGCGTCCTGGTGGACTTCCTCTCTGTGGTCTCCGTAAGCTACAGGAAGTCCCTCTTCCCTTGTCTGCTGGGGAGGGCATGGATGTTTCTCTGCCTTCTTCACTTAAATATTCCAAAGTCTTAGAAGCATACCTGACCCATAACAGGCATTAACCAAAATGTAAAATTCCATGGATTTGGAGTTCTGTAGGAGCCCCTGACAAAGGCCAGGAGTGTTCTCAGTTCCTTTCCATCTGGATGACTGTGAAGACTCTGGGGGAATGGGTCCTATTTGATCTAGGAGCCCCATGGACAGCAAAGACATCTGAACAGTCAATCCTAAAGGAAATCAGTCCTGGGTGTTCATTGGAAGGACTGATGGTGAAGCTCCAATACTTTGGCCACCTGATGCGAAGACCTGACTCATTGGAAAAGACCCTGATGCTGGGAAAGATTGAAGGCAGGAGAAGGGGACAGGGATGAGATGGGTGGATGGCATCACCGACTCAATGGATGAGTTTGAGCAAACTCTGGGAGATAGTGAAGGACAGGGAGGCCTGGTGTGTTGCAGTCCACGGGGTCGCAAAGAGTTGGAAACGTCCGAGCGACTAACAACAAAGCCCCTTATAGACAATCGGGTCTCATTTCTCTGAAGAGCCCTGGTGGACCAGACCGTCTGAGGAGCTGGTCCACCCTTCCACAGAACTCCCCACAACCCTCCCTCGTTCCTCAGCTCAGGTAAGTCTTATAAGGTGGGTCAGTTCCTTCAACTGGACTCAAGTTCCCAACTGAGCCAGCCCCTTTGGGCAGCTGCTTTCACCACTGTAAAGCATCTGCCTACAATGCGGGAGACCCCATTTCAATCCCTGGGTCGGGAAGCTCTCTTGGAGAAGGAACCAGCAACCCACTCCAGTATTCTTGCCTGGAAAAATCCCACGGACGAAGGAGCCTGGTGGGCTACAGTCCATGGGGTCGCAAAGAGTCGGACACAACTGAGCAACTTTCTTTTTTTTTTTCCATTTATTTTTGTTAGTTGGAACGACTGAGCAACTTTCACTTTTCACTTCCCACCACTGCTACGCAGCCTTTTGCGCTGGGATCCCCCAGCCCTTTGGCTCCCCCAAAACTAGCCTCCACCAAACAGGTCTCCCGAGTCCCGCTGTCCCAGCTTTCTGGGGGGTCACCTTGAGCACATGGCCCCACAAGTTCTCCTCTCAGTTCTGTAGCCAGCTTGGATTTGGGGCCCTTTTCGCTCTTCCTCCTCGCAGCGGGTCCCAGGCCTCTCCCTTTTCCAATACAGGGAAATGCACTGTCGGCCCCCTGCTGTGAGCCCCGCAGTGACACTGCCGAGGGTGTCCACGCTAGATCCATTCTGGAGGAGGCCATTCTGGGCCCAAGGGCTGAATCAACAGTCCCGGAGACCCTCCCCTGCCCTCGAAGCCGCTCCAGACTGAGTTTGGGACGGCCCACGTAGGAGATCCCTGGGCGTCAATAGGCGGTGGGGGCACGGCGGGTGTGGGGGCGCTGTGGGCGGGCTTAGGGGCGGGGCCGGGTGCTGACCTACCGGGGGCTGCTCTCAGGGACTGGGCGGGGCCGAGGACAGTGCTGGGGGTGGGGCCCGGCCGGGGCGGGCCTGAGATTGGATTCTGATTGGGTCCAATTGCCCCTTCCCCAGGTGTTGCGGCGCTTCCACGTCGCCAGGCGGTCCGCGGCTTGCGCCAGCCCAGGCCGCCCCAGCGTCCGGAGCTCCGGCCTTTAGGCTCCCGCGCCATGGCCGGGCCGGGCCCCGGGGACCCGGACGAGCAATACGACTTCCTGTTCAAGCTGGTGTTGGTGGGCGACGCGAGCGTGGGCAAGACGTGCGTGGTGCAGCGCTTCAAGACCGGCGCCTTCTCCGAGCGCCAGGGCAGCACCATCGGCGTGGACTTCACCATGAAGACGCTGGAGATCCAGGGCCAACGAGTAAAGGTGGGAGGCCGGGCCCGGGGCCCCCACGGCTCTAGGGGTCGGCCCCCGCTCTGGAGGGTCTCCCCTGCGGGGGCGGGGGCCGCGGCAAGCGCCTGACCGCTCCGCGGCGGCTGGGCCCCCTGCCCTTCCTCCGGTCCGAGCAGGCCTGGGCCTTGGCGTCGGGGCCGGCCTCCGTGCGCAGATCGCGGGCCTCGGGGCGTGGGGGTGCGCGTGCTTGGGGGTGCGGAGAGAAGGCCCTGCCCTCCGAGCTACATCCCCACCCCCGGGGACTTTGCTCCAGTCTCCGGTCCCCGGCGGTGGGGAGCCTCGGGTACAGGCCCCGGGGGTGTCGGGCCGGCTTGTCCCTGCCCCACCGCGGTCAAAGCCCCCAGCTTGGCCCTCGGTGGGGACCCAAGGCCGCAAGGGACACCCTCCCCCCCCTCGACCCCGCACGGCTAGGAGGGAGCAGGAAGTAGTTGCTTCTGGGACCGGAGGGCCAAAACTTTTTTGTCAGAATTTCCGGCCTGGCCACGCCTCCCTGCAGTGTCTTTGTGGACCGGGTGGTGGAACTTGACTCGGCCAGGCGGCCCGGGTCCCCTCCCCCAGCTGCCGCCCGACGGGAACTGAAAACTCGGCCCGGAAGGTAGGGGCGAGCCCCGGGCTCCCTCGGTGGCTCCCCAGAACCGGCAGGATGTAGCTGCCCAAGCGTCCTGGCGTTGGTCTGACGACTAGTGTTTGTCATTCGCCCGTCAGTCTCTTAACCTGGGTGTCAGCCCTCCCTGGTGGATTGAGAGACCATTGTTCTTGCTTGGTAGCTTCGCTGAACCGCGGTGGACCAACATCCTTTCCTCTCTTTCATGGTTTTGCGTTCCCACCGGCTCTGGCCTGGCTCCCAGGAGCCCTGGGCAGGGGCTCCCCGCCTTACCTCCGTGTTTTCTGGTTGAGCCCCCATACCGTGGGCCCGGCTGTGCTGGACTGCCTGGGTCTGCTACTGGTTGCCTTTTGCCAGAAAGCTCAGCTCTTTGTTTCTGCAAAATAGGGATAATTTTTGGGTGTCTCCTCCCGCTTGCCTCACCGTGGAGAAGTCAGCCAACAGAGGTTACAAGCCCCCAGCAAGCCTTTGGAGTAGATGACAGGGAAAGCAGAAACTCCCTGCCCCGAGGGTTCCCTTCTTTTTTTTTTTAATAGTCTTTTGTGTTTGTGTGTGATGGGTCTCCTTAGGATAGAAAAAAGAACGTTGTGTGGCAGGCAGCTTTGAGTCATTCCTCAGGACCACCCCGTGGGGCAGGTGGAGGGAAGAGCTGTGGGCTGGGTGGAGTGTGTCCAGGATGGGTTGTGCCTGGACGTGGCCAGCTGAAGGATGGGCGTGAAGGATCAGTGCAGACGGTGGTCAGGGAGGGGGCAGGGTGTCCTGTTTACCTGGCGAGGTCACAGCCTGGGCAGAGCCCCGGGAGCCCCGTGTACCCGCGCAGGTTGTGCAATGCAGGGCAGAGCTCTGCGGTTCCGGTTCCTGCTGCTCACCTCCGGGGTGTTCTTCCCGGGGGGCAAGCGGGTGTGGGTCTGGGATGGGGAAGCGATGTAGGCAAGGCCGCGCCCCTTGGGTCAGGGCGGCTGGCCCTCCCCAGAGCCTGCAGGGTGCCAGCAATTGCACAGATGTGCCCCGGTGCTCAGCCCCTCCTCACACGGGCCGGGCCTCCCCAGGCACACGGCTGGGAGGCCACAGACAAGGAAGTTTTCTTCCACTTTTCTGACTCCACCGCATGGGGTCTTTCCCATACACCCGACTGCTGCTTCCGTTTGCGTGCAGTGGGAAAGCATGTTGTAAAAACAGGCAATGTAAAAATAGGCAATTATTTACATTTTGCAGCCAGAGAAACCTGAAGCCTCAGCACTGAAGACTGTGACCCGAATCTGGGAGGTGGGGGTTGGCGGCGGGGAGACAGTCTTCCGATTCCTGGATTCTGGGCTCTTGGACTCAGCAGGTCCTTTCTCCTCACCCATAGATATCTTTGGGGTGTCTTCAAGCCATGTGACTTTAAAAAAAAAAATCAAAAAAGTTTATCGAAGTTCCGCTTACACACAGCAAGCCTCCCTCCCTTCGGGTGCCCAGGTCTGTGATCTTGACAAATGCGGGCAGCAGTCAGCAGCACCAGCACATACAGGGGGCCGATTCCTCCCATCCACCCAGAACGTTCCCGGGTGTCCCTTTGTGTCAGCGTCCTCCCCGACCCTGGGCCCTGGCAGCTGCCCATCCGTTTTCTCTCTGGTTTCAGCAGTGTGACTTTAACTGGAACCCTTGACGAGCCAGATTTCATGGTTGTTTCTGCAGAAGGCTCGTCCACATCAGTGATTTAGTTTAAAACCTTCCCAGGCCTGTGCGGGTCCAGCGAGTCTCCAGTGTGATCTCCTGAGCGGCCTCGCCGGTGCTGGCTGGCTCTCGGTAGCACTCAAGGAGCCCCAGAGAGGGATCACCTAGCTCCTCTGGGCCTCAATGTTTGGGGTGCTGTGGGCTGAAGTGGGGGGCCAAGCTGCTGCCGGGTCAGAAGGGCCTTAACCCTCTTCTCACCCAGTAGAGCAATGCTAGTACTTGTGTCTAGTTTTATATTTAGGTTCTACTTGTCTTTATTTGGATGAAGAGTTCTGCTTTCCAAGAAATAGTTAGGGCCATCACAGATTGAATTCAATCCCTTTATTTCAATAGTCACTTCCTCTTGCAACCATAATGCCATCCCAGCTCCTTTCCAAGAGGGCTGGGCCTCTGTCTGCCCTGCCCACATCATCTCCCTGCCTCAAACAAACTCTCCAGCCTCACTAGCCCTCTCGGTCCCTCCAACATGCCTGCCTCGGGCCTTTTGCACCTGCTGTCCCGTCTGCCCACATTCTGCCCCCAGATCTCCGTGTAACAGCTGCTTCATCAGTTGGTTGCTGTTGCCCCGGGCGCCTCTTCAGAGAGGCCTTTCCTGACCTCCGAGGCCCTCCACCCCATTGCAGGGTAAGTTCAAGGGTGTGTTCGTATCACTTACCAGGACTTGACCTTGCCTTGTTCGTGGATCCAGTCTGCCCTGCGTACCCCACACCTTGTGAATCCCCACACCTGCCACAGTGTTAGATGTACAATGCTCACTACATGCATGGTCCTTAGTTTTTATTTAATGGGAGGAAGCTGAGGCCAAAATAAGGGAAGTGACCAGCATGCCCAAGGCCCCACACACATCAGCGGCAGAACCAGGCTTTGGACCCGGGATCTCCCTGGCTCCAAGCCCAGCACCCACTTTTCCACCTGACTGCCCCTCAGCCCTTCTGAGTCCATGACGATGCCCCCGAGATTCTGCGCGTTAGTGACTAGTGAAGAGGCAGTTGCGGCCACCACACTTGGAGAGTAGCTTGTGGACTTGGGGCATTTCCGAGATTTTTAGGAATGAGGGTTGAAGTTGAAACCCCAAGGACTTTTCAGGGTGTTGTCAGCTAGCAGAACAGCAGCGCCCAGGGCTCCTGGAGCGCTCTGCTGGGGGGAGGCTCTGGCCTGCAGGCTGAACCTGGAGGGGGGCTCTGGGGGCTGCAGGCCTCTAAGCAGTGGGGGTCTGGAGGTCTGGGTCTCTCGTCTGGCTCCGTTCAGCCTCTTCCCAACCCTGCCCTGCTTGGAGCCCTGGGCCGCCTCCTTCATGAAACGGGATGACTCGCTCTGCCTACCTGTCAGGGTTTCTGGGCAACAATGAACTCACTCAAAACAGTTAAAAATTCCCCTTGTGTCTTTGGATAATCCATCCCCACGGGTCAGAATTCCATAGACATAAAAGGCTATGCAGTTAAAAGCCCTCTTCCATGTCTGTCCCCTTTAAGAAGGCAGGCAGGGTAGCCCGTCTCTTGTCTGTCCTGAAGGTGCTATTGTGGATAAACCAAGGAACTCCGAACATAAGGGATTATATTATTGTTGCTGTTGTTAGCATTTTCCTCCCTAGGGATTATTATTAAGACTATTTCTTAACCAGCCTGGCCCCCCACCTCACGTCCCCCAGGAGATCTCGGCCGGTTCTAAATCCCGGACGCAGCCCGAGCATCGCTCTCCCAGCTTATCTGGGACGACACAGAGGCCTGTTACGTAAACTGGTCTGCACCTCACCGGGGACACGCAGGCAGGCTGGCCCCAAGGGGCTGCGCCCCTGTATTGGGCTCTGCCAGGGTCACTGTCCCCGTGCGCCGTGGAGCTCAGTCTCTGCCCCAGGGCCCCGGGTCCCACGCTTAGGACCTTGAGCCCAGCAGCAGTCCTGATCTGCGAGGGGCAGGGCTGGGGTGGAAGGCACAGGCTTCTGTTTGAAGTTTGCATCCTCAGCCCTTCCCACCAGTGGTCTGGCCTTGCTCACGTGCTTTTTCCTATTTGGATAAAATTAGTCTGACTTTGCTAATTTTGATCACAAATAGCAAAAGGACCGTTGGGTAAGAGAGGAGTTCTGGGCCCTGCTGGTGGTCTGAGGAAGTGTGTTCCGGGTGCTGTGACGGCCACCCTCAAGGCAGAGGACCTTGCCTCCCAGGGGCCCGCCAGCCCCGAGGCAGCAGGTGTGGTGGGGAGAGGCCAGAAGGGGGGCTTTGCTGCATGGTCTGTTCCCCGGTCACCCCCGAGCTGGAGGACCCGACGCACAGCAGAGCGTCAGTGCTGGGAGCTCAGGCCGGCGTGGGTCAGCTGTGAGGCGTGGTTTCAGCCCGTCTGGGTCTTCTCTGCTCCCCTTGCCCCATGTGACCCTCGCAGAGCTGGTTCTCTTCGGAGGCTCTGGGCGTGAGGGATCGTGGGGTGCCCGGCAGCCCTCCTCCCCCGCCCCCATCTCCCCAGCACCCACCTCTGTTCTCGTGCTCTGCTCCACGTGGTCCTTGCCGCCCTGTGAGACCCCATTTCGCAGACGGGGAGACGAAGGCCGTGCGGGCAGGCCTGAACCAGAACCTCGCCTGACACCTTCTCCTCGTTGCTGTTTGCGTGCCCCATACCTCTGCCAAAGACACTCATGCACCACAGAAAGCTTTGCCACCAG